GTTTAGAGTTACTACACACATCCACAACCCATTGTAGAATCCAATAAACATATATCGACCATCGTTATCATCTAATGACCCATCTTCACAATCCATGACCCATATTATAATCAACATATCTCGACCATTGACCCATTTTGACCATCCATCTACCCATTTTGACCATCCATCAACCACTTTAACCATCCATCGACTCATTTAGACTAATTATCAACCCATCTTGACCATCCTTCGACCACTTTTGACCATTCATCGACCACTTTTGACCATCCATCAACCCATCTTGACCATTCATCGTCTCATTTAGACCAATTATCAACCCATCTTGACCATCCATCAATCTATCGTGACCATTCGTCGACTCATTTAGACCAATTATCAACCCATCTTGACCATTGTCGACCACTTAACACGCCCTTATCACCACTGCTGCACCCCCCCCCCCCCATCATTATACCGTTATCACGTGATCTTGTCTCGCGCCATGTCACCTCTAATGAGCAGGTACTGACGGTGATTAATCAACCAATCAGAAGATCTAGCTGATGACGGGGATTAATTAAACCTCCACCACCCCCCAGTGTCAACAAAACACATTGGGAAGCTGATGTTGTCTTTAAGTTATAATTTGAATCAGTGTGGGCGTGTTGGGGCGTCTAGAGGTGTGTATGGTGTGTCTATCATGTGTGTATGGTGTGTGTATGGTGTGTCTATCATGTGTATATGGTGTGTGTATGGTGTGTTGTGATGTGTAGGGGCGGGTTAAAATGGACTTTTTGTTTCACTCGGCACCCGCCCTCCCGTTAGACAAATCTTTGCATGCAAGAATATCCGTTCACAAAGATAGACCAATTTGTTTGGTTATACCACACACAAAATGTACCCATTTATTTGGTTATACCACACACAAAATGTACCCATTTGGTTATACCACACACAAAATGTACCCATTTGTCTTGTTGTAACAAAGATACACAACCCCAATAGGTATATTTAGACTCACTTTCCAATACTTAAAATAGGGCATCAACTCATTTGGTGCACAATAACATCGATTTCACTCATGTCGTTCTGTTGTGAACTGTTTGTTTTTGGTTAATTGAGTGTGGGAGTCGATTGTTCAAGGATTTGCTATCGTTTACCGTGAGTACAGTGTCAAAGTACCAAACACTTTGCTAGAATTTCTAGGCATTTGTTTTACTGTTTGAATTATTTACCGGTGTAGCTGTCCGTAATATCCTAAATGTGTATTTTAGGTTTTAACTATCGTTTTTTTAGTGTTAGTTGAAAATTCTTGGTGTAATTTAAAAATATATTTGGGATTTTATGAGATTATGGATATTTTGTAGGAGGTTCTATTTGATTTGTGTGTGGTTGGTGGGAGGGGTGGGGGTGAGGTTTAGGTCATTGCACTTGATGACATCCCTGTTTCTCACAGCCATTGGGCGTGTGTGGGAGGGAAGGGGTTGAAGGTCGCTCCACACTGGTAGGATCGATGTTGTTCACTGTCATGTGGTGTGTGGGTGTGGTGTGTGGGTGTGGTGTGTGGGAGGGGGGTGTAGGTCGCTCCACAATGGTAGGATCGATGTTGTTCACCGTCATGTGGTGTATGGGTGTGGTGTGTGGGTGTGGTGTGTGGGTGTGGTGTGTGGGTGTGGTGTGTGGGTGTGGTGTGTGGGTGTGGTGTGTGGGTGTGGTGTGTGGGTGTGGTGTGTGGGTGTGCTGTGTGGGTGTGGTGTGTGGGTGTGGTGTGTGGAGTGTGGGTGTGGTGTGTGGGTGTGGTGTGTGGGTGTGGTGTGTGGGTGTGGGTGTGGTGGGTGTGGTGTGTGGGTGTGGTGTGTGGGTGTGGTGTGTGGGTGTGGTGTGTGGGTGTGGTGTGCGGGTGTGGTGTGTGGGTGTGGTATGTGGTTGTGGTGGGTGTAGGTCGCTCCACACTGGTAGGATCGATGTAGTGTTGTGTGTGGGTGTGGTGGGTGGGTGTGGTGGGTGGGTGTGAGGGGTTTAGGTCGCTCCACACTGGTAGGATCGATGTAGTGTGGTGTGTGGGTGTAGTGGGTGTAGGTCGCTCAACACTGGTAGGATCGAACTTGGTCACCGTCATGTGGTGTGTGGGTGTGGTGTGTGGGTGTGGTGTGTGGGTATGGTGTGTGGGTGTGGTGTGTGTGTGTGGTGTGTGGGTGTGGTGGGTGGGTGTGGTGTGTGGTTTGTGGTGGGTGGTGTGTAGTGGGTAGTCTGTGGTGTAGGCCATCCCTGTGACTCACTGCCTGACATCTACGGCATGTGTACACGAGGTGGGAGGCTCCAGCCGGTGATAAACACAAGCAGACGACAGCTGGTGAGTACATGGCGCGGCAATCATCAGAAAAACACCCGGATGTAGCTCGGCTTGGGCAGAAATCCGAACGGTTGAACTGGGCAGAAATCCCAACGGTTGAACTGGAGGAAAGGAGGACATTTGAACTGAGCAGAAAGCTGTGTAGTCCTGGTATCCCACTCTCGTGGTGTCAGGATTATGGTGTCTTGGTCTTATGGTGTCAGGTTTATGGTGTCTTGATCTTATGGTGTCAGGACTAATTGTGTCATATGTAGTTCATACGTTCACCACCCACAAAGCTCCCCCCCCCCCCCACCCACCACCCCATATGTCGCCTCCTGCACCTAGCACATAATTACTGTCTTATCTATTTCCGCCGGAAAATTGCCCAATTTCAATAGGAGAATTGTTTGGGCGCCCACCCCGGAGACTAGAACTGGCTGGTTGTTACTTACCTCTCCAGCCCCTGCGGCTAGTCCCGGGGGTCTTGAAATTTTCACTTGACCATGCCAACCGCCTGCGGCTGTTTAAATCTCCTTCCCCGTGCACGTGCCAATAACCGCTCACCCCTGCTGCGGCGGTCACTCAATTGTATGCGCGCGCAGATTTGTAACGAAGCTGCAAGAGCGCGTGGTTCAAACCATCAATTCCAATTGGCGTCCCGTGGCATTGTGGGTAGAGGGTGCTAATCAGGGCCGGTGACTCGCGCTACATCTCAAGACTCAGTAACTACCGGCCTTTATAATGAGGGATTTCAGCGCTAACCTGCAGGCGACCAAATTTGACAAAATATTTGGGCTGACTGCACGGAAATGACGCAGGCAGTGATCGGTGTACTCTAAAACCGGTAAAGTGATTATTTTTGTGATGAAAAAAGGGCTGCGTGGGCTTAAGGGATCCGAGCGAAAATGAGTTTACACAACCCAAATATCAAAGTTTAGGAGGCTTATAAATAACGTGTTTAGACTATAAGTATAGGCTAGAAAAATGTATATGAATGTGGGGAGTTGGGTTGATGGGGGATGTGTCTTGTGTCATCCACCAATGGAGAGTCCAACAAGAATTAGATAGTACAACATTGCGTATTCAGAATGTTCATATAATGGATATCATAAGCAGTCTGTACGCTATGATGTATCGCAGAATACATTACAGTGAAGTGTCTATAAATAACAATTGGCCTTATCCATGCTGCTTAAAATTGTGCCGGCTATTCAACAACATCATCTTTTCCTCTTTGTATCCAACATACAAGAGGACGCCGGCCATTCAACATGTTAAATTATTAACTCTACATGCGGAAAATAATATTTAAAATAGCTTTCGTCGGTACCCTAGATGTCATGATAACTAATTAGTACTGCATTAAAAATTGGTATTTAGATTATTCTAATTACCAAAAAAATAGTGAGAATATAATTAACGTTTTAAAATGTTTTCATTTTATAAAACCCTAACAACAGGCCCACCTAAAGTACATTGCAATTAAATAATTCGTTTTAATTCTGCCGTGGTCACTAGGCAATTATGTTCAGTTTAATTACAGATTAATTATTCTATTTAAAGCGTATGATATGATGATCCTAATGGCAGTAGTAGTCAAGTTTGGAGAGTGTAACATACACAAGGGACGCAACTGATAAACCTGGCTAAATCTTGTTTTTGGTCGACATGTTGGGGATAGCATATCACCCACCCGCCCCAGATTTTGATAAGCCACAATTTGAACAACAAATCTAAATACAGAAACTACTATAAAAACCAATACTATTACAGAAATATTTTAAAATCTATTTTTTAAGAAGTTGACGAATTTTAGTGTTAGTGTTAAACCCCACTCAAAACGATGTTATCTGTTCCATTTAATTCACTTACACGCACGTTTAACCCTTCCCCACACAACAAGCACCTTCACCCATCCACGCCTATAACCACCCACACCTATAACTACCCACACCTTTAACCACCACACAAATAACTACGAACAACCATAACAAAAAATGCCAATAACCATCCACATTATAACCACCCACACCTAAAACCACCCCCACTATAACCACCCACACTATAACTACCCACACTATAACTACCCACATCTATAACTACCTACGTCTATAACTACCCACATTTATAAATACCCACACCTATAACTACAATCACCTATAACTACGAACACCAATAACTACCCACACCTATAACTACCCACACCAATAACTACGAACGCAATAACAACCCATGCCAATAACCACCCACACTATAACCACCCACACTATAACCACTCTCACTCTAACCACCCACACCTACAACCACCCACCTACACCCACAAACCGACTAGATCTGTATCTATTCTCTTTGTCGTTCAAATTCCCTCCCACTGTTAACTTTAGTTGTTGTACTATATAACTGATCCGCGGTCGTAGGATACTAGCGTCATGGGATGGTTGAAAGCCTCATCGATCTGATATTTGCAATCCCCGACTCCCATTAGATGTCTCACGCTAATTGTTGTTTCATTTCTGACTTTTCATGGCATACTATTTTCATCTTATTTTTATTTCCTTTGAGAGTTATAAAACAAAGGGAAATAACCGAAAAAAATGTCAAATATTTTTTAATTACTGAATTACTTCCCCTACACTGAGACTTTCTTTCATGATTTTAAGTTAAATGATTTTTCTCTCCACAGACGAGCCTTTAGAAGACAGTCTGCTGTTGTCGTCCAGCTACACGAAGCGGGATGGCGGTCACGATCCTTGGAACCTCTGCACTGGTAAACAAGCGGTAAGCAGATCTGTGGTGTTTGTGGTTCTTGCAGGTTACTGACGGTCAAGTTTTTATGCGTCTCGGGTCAGTTAGACACGTCGATGATATCTCATGGTTCCCGCTGACTTACGCGTCAGTGGTGTCTACCTTTAGACGTCAGTAGTCTACCTTTAGACGTCAGTAGTCTACCTTTAAACGTCTGTCTAGCTTTAGACGTCAGATGTCACACTTTTGATGACATCAGTACAGTATACCTTTAGCCGTTGACTGATAACGTTAGTAGATTATACCTTTCGACGTCAAGCTGTAGATTGTTGACGTCACACGATCAAATAGTGACGTCACTGGTAGTCGCCTGCTGACGTCAAATATTGCCTGCTATTTTGAGCGCAGCTTTGATCTAGAGACGAAACATGTTCCACCATTGTTCTTTAAACTAAAATTCCTTCATGGTCCATCTACATAAACATATCCCTAATTGATTGTTTGATCTACATAAAGAGATCCCTAATTGATTGCTTGGTTTAATTGCAGATCGACTGCTTCTATGTCTATTTCAACATCTACGCCAGATTACGCAAGGAGGCTGAGGCAGAGAGATCACCACCAAGGAATCTGGTCGGCAAAAGATCGAATCCTCTGTCTCGGTTATCGAGTTTCCTAAGAGAGGACGAGGCAGCCGATGACGTCACATACTGACCTTTGCATGACGTCATGAGCGTTGGGCGTTAATGATTTCTTTTTCATTAAATATTGCTCAATTCATTGTTGACTTGTATTTTTAATTTTTTCGCTAGCTGGTGTTTTGTGTGGTCTAGTAGAAATGTAGTAAGTCCAGAGAGTGGGGGGGGGCACTAGTAAAAGTATATGTTTTCTATATTAATTCCATTTCGTTCGGGGGGGGGTGGACTTCCTTCGGTGGGGCTCCGCCACCCACCCCCCACCCCGAAGAGATGCCTGGAAGAAACTCTGCTTCCAACGACGCCAATAATGAAGTAATAAAAGTGGGCCTACAGACCCAATTTGAATACAACTTTGATCAAGATTTAATGACAGGGAACCAAGATCAAGATACTGGATGTACATAACTCAGCAGCTACGATCTACTCACTGTAAGCTGTATAAGACAACAACATTTAAAACATTAGTCTACAGAATGTAAAAGCTGAGTAAACAGCCAAGTCATGGCCTTACCAATAAGCCGCAATTGTTCTTCATACTTTTATCCGATTAAATGATGACGATCATATTTCTATTGTTTCATAGTTCGTGCCTGTAAACCTATGGCCTTAAACTAACGTACATACATGATTTGATCATTTTGCAGTATATGCTCTATATAGAACCAGAGAGCAATTACACTTTAGTGAACTCTCCATTACATTCAGCAACAACAAAATACCAAGAGCGATCACCTTACAAAATTGTGGTAGCTCACATTACATTCAACAGTTTAGGTGTCTCTGGACATACAAATACTAAATAGAATTAACTGGGTTAACTTGCCTGAGAAATCTGTTACAATAGTGACAGGATGCGGTAGGTGATGTGTGGGTGTGGGGGTGAGGTAGGTGATGTGTGGGTGAGGTAGGTGATGTGTGGGTGTGGGGGGTGATTTGTAGGTAAGGTAGGTGATGTGTGGGTGAGGTAGGCAATGTGTGGGTGAAGTAGGTGATGTGTGGGTGAAGTAGGTGATGTGTGGCTGAGGTATGTGATGTGTGGTGAGGTAGGTGATGTGTGGGTGAGGTAGGTGATGTGTGGGTGTGGGGGGTGATGTGTAGGTGAGGTAGGTGATGTGTGGGTGAGGTAGGTGATGTGTGGGTGAGGTAGGTGATGTGTGGGTGTGTGGGGGTGATGTGTGGGTGAGGTATGCGATGTGTGGGTGAGGTAGGTGATGTGTGGGTGAGGTAGGCAATGTGTGGGTGAAGTAGGTGATGTGTGGGTGAAGAAGGTGATGTGTGGCTGAGGTATGTGATGTGTGGTGAGGTAGGTGATGTGTGGGTGAGGTAGGTGATGTGTGGGTGTGGGGGGGTGATGTGTAGGTGAGGTAGGTGATGTGTGGGTGAGGTAGGTGATGTGTGGGTGAGGTAGGTGATGTGTGGGTGAAGTAGGTGATGTGTGGCTGAGGTATGTGATGTGTGGTGAGGTAGGTGATGTGTGGGTGAGGTAGGTGATGTGTGTGTGTGGGGGGGGGTGATGTGTGGGTGAGGTAGGTGAGGTATGTGAGGTAGGTAATGTGTGGGTGTGGGTGGTGATGTGTAGGTGAAGTAGGTGAGGTAGGTGATGTGTTGGTGTGGGGGTAATTTGTTGGTGAGGTAGGTGATGTGTAGGTGAGGTAGGTGATGTGTGGGTGAGGTAGGCAATGTGTGGGTGACGTAGGTGATGTGTGGGTGAAGTAGGTGATGTGTGGCTGAGGTATATGATGTGTGGTGAGGTAGGTGATGTGTGGGTGAGGTAGGTGATGTGTGGGTGTGGGAGGGGTGATGTGTAGGTGAGGTAGGTGATGTGTGGGTGAGGTAGGTGATGTGTGGGTGAGGTAGGTGATGTGTGGGTGAAGTAGGTGATGTGTGGCTGAGGTATGTGATGTGTGGTGAGGTAGGTGATGTGTGGGTGAGGTAGGTGATGTGTGGGGGGTGATGTGTGGGTGAGGTACGTGATGTGTAGGTGAGGTAGATGATGTGTGGGTGTGGGGAGTGATGTGTAGGTGAGGTAGGTGATGTGTGGGTGTGGGGGTGATGTGTAGGTGAGGTAGGTGATGTGTGGGTGTGGGGGGTGATGTGTAGGTGAGGTAGGTGAGGTAGGTGAGGTAGATAATGTGTGGGTGTGGGTGGTGATGTGTAGGTGAATTAGGTGAGGTAGGTGATGTGTTGGTGTGGGGGTGATTTGTAGGTGAGGTAGGTGATGTGTAGGTGAGGTAGGTGAGGTAGGTGATGTGTGGGTGTGGGGGGTGATGTGTAGGTGAGGTAGGTGAGGTAGGTGAGGTAGGTAATGTGTGAGTGTGGGTGGTGATGTGTAGGTGAAGTAGGTGAGGTAGGTGATGTGTTGGTGTGGGGGTGATTTGTAGGTGAGGTAGGTGATGTGTAGGTGAGGTAGGTGAGGTAGGTGATGTGTGGGTGTGGGGGTGTGATGTGTGGGTGAGGTATGCGATGTGTGGGTGAGGTAGGTGATGTGTGGGTGAGGTAGGCAATGTGTGGTGATGTGTGGGTGAAGAAGGTGATGTGTGGCTGAGGTATGTGATGTGTGGTGAGGTAGGTGATGTGTGGGTGAGGTAGGTGATGTGTGGGTGTGGGGGGGGGGGGGTGATGTGTAGGTGAGGTAGGTGATGTCTGGGTGAAGTAGGTGATGTGTGGGTGAGGTAGGTGATGTGTGGGTGAAGTAGGTGATGTGTGGCTGAGGTATGTGATGTGTGGTGAGGTAGGTGATGTGTGGGTGAGGTAGGTGATGTGTGTGTGTGTGTGGGGGGGGTGATGTGTGGGTGAGGTAGGTGAGGTAGGTAAGGTAGATGATGTGTGGGTGAGGTAGGCAATGTGTGGGTGAAGTAGGTGATGTGTGGGTGAAGTAGGTGATGTGTGGCTGAGGTTTGTGATGTGTGGTGAGGTAGGTGATGTAGGTGTGGGGGGTGATGTGTAGGTGAGGTAGGTGAGGTAGGTAATGTGTGGGTGTGGGTGGTGATGTGTAGGTGAAGTAGGTGATGTGTGGGTGTGGGGGGTGATGTGTAGGTGAGGTAGGTGAGGTAGGTGAGGTAGGTAATGTGTGGGTGTGGGTGGTGATGTGTAGGTGAAGAAGGTGAGGTAGGTGATGTGTTGGTGTGGGGGTGATTTGTAGGTGAGGTAGGTGATGTGTAGGTGAGGTAGGTGAGGTAGGTGATGTGTGGGTGTGGGTGGTGATGTGTAGGTGAAGTAGGTGAGGTAGGTGATGTGTTGGTGTGGGGGTAATTTGTTGGTGAGGTAGGTGATGTGTAGGTGAGGTAGGTGATGTGTGGGTGAGGTAGGCAATGTGTGGGTGAAGTAGGTGATGTGTGGGCGATGTAGGTGATGTGTGGCTGAGGTATGTGATGTGTGGTGAGGTAGGTGATGTGTGGGTGAGGTAGGTGATGTGTGGGTGTGGGGGGGTGATGTGTAGGTGAGGTAGGTGATGTGTGGGTGAGGTAGGTGATGTGTGGGTGAGGTAGGTGATGTGTGGGTGAAGTAGGTGATGTGTGGCTGAGGTATGTGATGTGTGGTGAGGTAGGTGATGTGTGGGTGAGGTAGGTGATGTGTGGGGGGTGATGTGTGGGTGAGGTAGGTGATGTGTAGGTGAGGTAGATGATGTGTGGGTGTGGGGAGTGATGTGTAGGTGAGGTAGGTGATGTGTGGGTGTGGGGGTGATGTGTAGGTGAGGTAGGTGATGTGTGGGTGTGGGGGGTGATGTGTAGGTGAGGTAGGTGAGGTAGGTGAGGTAGGTAATGTGTGGGTGTGGGTGGTGATGTGAAGGTGAATTAGGTGAGGTAGGTGATGTGTTGGTGTGGGGGTGATTTGTAGGTGAGGTAGGTGATGTGTAGGTGAGGTAGGTGAGGTAGGTGATGTGTGGGTGTGGGGGGTGATGTGTAGGTGAGGTAGGTGAGGTAGGTGAGGTAGGTAATGTGTGAGTGTGGGTGGTGATGTGTAGGTGAAGTAGGTGAGGTAGGTGATGTGTTGGTGTGGGGGTGATTTGTAGGTGAGGTAGGTGATGTGTAGGTGAGGTAGGTGAGGTAGGTGAGGTAGGTGATGTGTGGGTGTGGGGGTGTGATGTGTGGGTGAGTTATGCGATGTGTGGGTGAGGTAGGTGATGTGTGGGTGAGGTAGGCAATGTGTGGTGATGTGTGGGTGAAGAAGGTGATGTGTGGCTGAGGTATGTGATGTGTGGTGAGGTAGGTGATGTGTGGGTGAGGTAGGTGATGTGTGGGTGTGGGGGGGGGGTGATGTGTAGGTGAGGTAGGTGATGTCTGGGTGAAGTAGGTGATGTGTGGGTGAGGTAGGTGATGTGTGGGTGAAGTAGGTGATGTGTGGCTGAGGTATGTGATGTGTGGTGAGGTAGGTGATGTGTGGGTGAGGTAGGTGATGTGTGTGTGTGGGGGGGTGATGTGTGGGTGAGGTAGGTGAGGTAGGTGAGGTAGGTGATGTGTGGGTGAGGTAGGCAATGTGTGGGTGAAGTAGGTGATGTGTGGGTGAAGTAGGTGATGTGTGGCTGAGGTATGTGATGTGTGGTGAGGTAGGTGATGTGTGGGTGAGGTAGGTGATGTGTGGGTGTGGGGGGTGATGTGTAGGTGAGGTAGGTGATGTGTGGGTGAGGTAGGTGATGTGTGGGTGAGGTAGGTGATGTGTGGGTGAAGTAGGTGATGTGTGGCTGAGGTATGTGATGTGTGGTGAGGTAGGTGATGTAGGTGTGGGGGGTGATGTGTAGGTGAGGTAGGTGAGGTAGGTAATGTGTGGGTGTGGGTGGTGATGTGTAGGTGAAGTAGGTGATGTGTGGGTGTGGGTGTGGGGGGTGATGTGTAGGTGAGGTATGTGAGGTAGGTGAGGTAGGTAATGTGTGGGTGTGGGTGGTGATGTGTAGGTGAAGTAGGTGAGGTAGGTGATGTGTTGGTGTGGGGGTGATTTGTAGGTGAGGTAGGTGATGTGTAGGTGAGGTAGGTGAGGTAGGTGATGTGTTGGTGTGGGTGGTGATGTGTAGGTGAAGTAGGTGAGGTAGGTGATGTGTTGGTGTGGGGGTAATTTGTTGGTGAGGTAGGTGATGTGTAGGTGAGGTAGGTGATGTGTGGGTGAGGTAGGCAATGTGTGGGTGAAGTAGGTGATGTGTGGGTGATGTAGGTGATGTGTGGCTGAGGTATGTGATGTGTGGTGAGGTAGGTGATGTGTGGGTGAGGTAGGTGATGTGTGGGTGTGGGGGGGTGATGTGTAGGTGAGGTAGGTGATGTGTGGGTGAGGTAGGTGATGTGTGGGTGAGGTAGGTGATGTGTGGGTGAAGTAGGTGATGTGTGGCTGAGGTATGTGATGTGTGGTGAGGTAGGTGATGTGTGGGTGAGGTAGGTGATGTGTGGGGGGTGATGTGTGGGTGAGGTAGGTGATGTGTAGGTGAGGTAGATGATGTGTGGGTGTGGGGAGTGATGTGTAGGTGAGGTAGGTGATGTGTGGGTGTGGGGGTGATGTGTAGGTGAGGTAGGTGATGTGTGGGTGTGGGGGGTGATGTGTAGGTGAGGTAGGTGAGGTAGGTGAGGTAGGTAATGTGTGGGTGTAGGTGGTGATGTGTAGGTGAATTAGGTGAGGTAGGTGATGTGTTGGTGTGGGGGTGATTTGTAGGTGAGGTAGGTGATGTGTAGGTGAGGTAGGTGAGGTAGGTGATGTGTGGGTGTGGGGGGTGATGTGTAGGTGAGGTAGGTGAGGTAGGTGAGGTAGGTAATGTGTGAGTGTGGGTGGTGATGTGTAGGTGAAGTAGGTGAGGTAGGTGATGTGTTGGTGTGGGGGTGATTTGTAGGTGAGGTAGGTGATGTGTAGGTGAGGTAGGTGAGGTAGGTGAGGTAGGTGATGTGTGGGTGTGGGGGTGTGATGTGTGGGTGAGGTATGCGATGTGTGGGTGAGGTAGGTGATGTGTGGGTGAGGTAGGCAATGTGTGGTGATGTGTGGGTGAAGAAGGTGATGTGTGGCTGAGGTATGTGATGTGTGGTGAGGTAGGTGATGTGTGGGTGAGGTAGGTGATGTGTGCGTGTGGGGGGGTGATGTGCAGGTGAGGTAGGTGATGTCTGGGTGAAGTAGGTGATGTGTGGGTGAGTTAGGTGATGTGTGGGTGAAGTAGGTGATGTGTGGCTGAGGTATGTGATGTGTGGTGAGGTAGGTGATGTGTGGGTGAGGTAGGTGATGTGTGTGTGTGTGGGGGGGGGGTGATGTGTGGGTGAGGTAGGTGAGGTAGGTGAGGTAGGTGATGTGTGGGTGAGGTAGGCAATGTGTGGGTGAAGTAGGTGATGTGTGGGTGAAGTAGGTGATGTGTGGCTGAGGTATGTGATGTGTGGTGAGGTAGGTGATGTGTGGGTGAGGTAGGTGATGTGTGGGTGTGGGGGGTGATGTGTAGTTGAGGTAGGTGATGTGTGGGTGAGGTAGGTGATGTGTGGGTGAGGTAGGTGATGTGTGGGTGAAGTAGGTGATGTGTGGCTGAGGTATGTGATGTGTGGTGAGGTAGGTGATGTAGGTGTGGGGGGTGATGTGTAGGTGAGGTAGGTGAGGTAGGTAATGTGTGGGTGTGGGTGGTGATGTGTAGGTGAAGTAGGTGATGTGTGGGTGTGGGGGGTGATGTGTAGGTGAGGTAGGTGAGGTAGGTGAGGTAGGTAATGTGTGGGTGTGGGTGGTGATGTGTAGGTGAAGTAGGTGAGGTAGGTGATGTGTTGGTGTGGGGGTGATTTGTAGGTGAGGTAGGTGATGTGTAGGTGAGGTAGGTGAGGTAGGTGATGTGTGGGTGTGGGTGGTGATGTGTAGGTGAAGTAGGTGAGGTAGGTGATGTGTTGGTGTGGGGGTAATTTGTTGGTGAGGTAGGTGATGTGTAGATGAGGTAGGTGATGTGTGGGTGAGGTAGGCAATGTGTGGGTGAAGTAGGTGATGTGTGGGTGATGTAGGTGATGTGTGGCTGAGGTATGTGATGTGTGGTGAGGTAGGTGATGTGTGGGTGAGGTAGGTGATGTGTGGGTGTGGGGGGGTGATGTGTAGGTGAGGTAGGTGATGTGTGGGTGAGGTAGGTGATGTGTGGGTGAGGTAGGTGATGTGTGGGTGAATTAGGTGATGTGTGGCTGAGGTATGTGATGTGTGGTGAGGTAGGTGATGTGTGGGTGAGGTAGGACATGTGTGGGGGGTGATGTGTGGGTGAGGTAGGTGATGTGTAGGTGAGGTAGATGATGTGTGGGTGTGGGGGTGATGTGTAGGTGAGGTAGGTGATGTGTGGGTGTGGGGGGTGATGTGTAGGTGAGGTAGGTGAGGTAGGTGAGGTAGGTAATGTGTGGGTGTGGGTGGTGATGTGTAGGTGAATTAGGTGAGGTAGGTGATGTGTTGGTGTGGGGGTGATTTGTAGGTGAGGTAGGTGATGTGTAGGTGAGGTAGGTGAGGTAGGTGATGTGTGGGTGTGGGGGGTGATGTGTAGGTGAGGTAGGTGAGGTAGGTGAGGTAGGTAATGTGTGAGTGTGGGTGGTGATGTGTAGGTGAAGTAGGTGAGGTAGGTGATGTGTTGGTGTGGGGGTGATTTGTAGGTGAGGTAGGTGATGTGTAGGTGAGGTAGGTGAGGTAGGTGAGGTAGGTGATGTGTGGGTGTGGGGGTGTGATGTGTGGGTGAGGTATGCGATGTGTGGGTGAGGTAGGTGATGTGTGGGTGAGGTAGGCAATGTGTGGTGATGTGTGGGTGAAGAAGGTGATGTGTGGCTGAGGTATGTGATGTGTGGTGAGGTAGGTGATGTGTGGGTGAGGTAGGTGATGTGTGGGTGTGGGGGGGGGGGTGATGTGTAGGTGAGGTAGGTGATGTCTGGGTGAAGTAGGTGATGTGTGGGTGAGGTAGGTGATGTGTGGGTGAAGTAGGTGATGTGTGGCTGAGGTATGTGATGTGTGGTGAGGTGAGGTAGGTGATGTGTGGGTGAGGTAGGTGATGTGTGTGTGTGTGGGGGGGGGGGGGGTGATGTGTGGGTGAGGTAGGTGAGGTAGGTGAGGTAGGTGATGTGTGGGTGAGGTAGGCAATGTGTGGGTGAAGTAGGTGATGTGTGGGTGAAGTAGGTGATGTGTGGCTGAGGTATGTGATGTGTGGGTGAGGTAGGTGATGTGTGGGTGAAGTAGGTGATGTGTGGGTGAGGTAGGTGATGTGTGGGTGTGGGGGGTGATGTGTAGGTGAGGTAGGTGATGTGTGGGTGAGGTAGGTGATGTGTGGGTGAGGTAGGTGATGTGTGGGTGAAGTAGGTGATGTGTGGCTGAGGTATGTGATGTGTGGTGAGGTAGGTGATGTAGGTGTGGGGGTGATGTGTAGGTGAGGTAGGTGAGGTAGGTAATGTGTGGGTGTGGGTGGTGATGTGTAGGTGAAGTAGGTGATGTGTGGGTGTGGGGGGTGATGTGTAGGTGAGGTAGGTGAGGTAGGTGAGGTAGGTAATGTGTGGGTGTGGGTGGTGATGTGTAGGTGAAGTAGGTGAGGTAGGTGATGTGTTGGTGTGGGGGTGATTTGTAGGTGAGGTAGGTGATGTGTAGGTGAGGTAGGTGAGGTAGGTGATGTGTGGGTGTGGGTGGTGATGTGTAGGTGAAGTAGGTGAGGTAGGTGATGTGTTGGTGTGGGGTTGATTTGTAGGTGAGGTAGGTGATGTGTAGGTGAGGTAGGTGAGGTAGGTGAGGTAGGTGATGTGTGGGTGTGGGGGGTGATGTGTAGATGAGGTTGGTGAGGTAGGTGATGTATGGTGAGGTAGGTGAGGTAGGTGATGTGTGGTGAGGTAGGTGATGTGTGGGTCAGGTAGGTGATGTGCGGGTGTGGGGGAAGATGTGTAGGTCAAGTAGGTGAGGTAGGTGATGTGTGGTGAGGTAGGTGATGTGTAGGTGAGGTAGGTGAGGTAGGTGATGTGTGGGTGTGGGAGGTGATTTGTAGGTGAGGTAGGTGATGTGTAGGTGAGGTAAGTGAGGTAGTTGATGTGTGGGTGTGGGGGGGGGGAGAAAAAAGTCTAGAAGAAACACTGCACCCCTTACGTGTGAATTACATAGAACAAAGTTACTGATCCTAATCTCAATGGCATTCACGTAATGTGATAAAAGTTCCCGGTCAGTATTTTTGAACAGGGTGAAAAAACTTTTTTTTGTGGTCGGCTTTGAAAACCGTAGATAATTAAAACTGAAAATTTTTTTGGGAAATCAAAATTTTGAAAATATTTATTATTGCATTTTTAAATGCAGTGAACTTGACAATATATTTCAATCTAAGTTTAAGCCAACGTTCATCTTAGGAGAGGGGGGGGGGTGCAAATTGAAAGTTTGAGGGGCGGGTGCAAATTGAAAATTGAAAGGTTGTTCCCTATGGGGGCGCCAAATTGAAAGTTTGTCCCCGGGCGCCGGGAAGGGTCGCTACGCCTCTGTTCACCATATATTTATTTAGATTTGTATAAACCCGACATTTTTTTAAACCTGGAGTTTCACTTTAGTTAATTTAGCCTTTATTTCAATTCTGCATCTAAAACTTTGCCGGTAAATATTTTAAATTGGCATACTATATTTACTAAATATATTACCACAACTGTTTTAAAACACCGCACACGAGTTTGAATATTATTTTAAGAGCTTCTGTTGACTTTCTCTACTGTTGGTATTTAGAGCATCCTCGGAAGTTGTAGAACAAGATGACGTTTCCCACGGAGATTCTACATATCGCATTTATAAATAATTCCACAAAATAAAATATCTACCTAGATTCTAGATCAAGATCCAGAAATCTAGAACAAAGTTCTAGCCGCTGATCGAAGCTTTTGTTTTTAAGGTTTAAAAAAAAAGAACAAGCAACGATTTACCTAAACAATTTAACATGAGGCGGTCTTATTTAGGTATGTACAGTGAGTAGAGTACTGACAAGTAACAGTGTCAGAGTGTTCATCATTGTTGTTGTACGTACTCGGGAGTGAGTAGGCCAAATAATCAAAGATTTAAAATTTAGATCCAGAAGCTAGATCTAGAATCTAGATTTTCTAGATCTAGGCCCTAGATTTCTAGATCTAAATGTTAATATTAGGCCTAAAAAATATAAAAAATTTAAGAAAGATCTAGATCTAGAGTAAAGTTCCACGCGCGGTTAAAACACCGGTGCGGCCATCGCGGGTTTATCGCTTCGTACAATTATAATATTTGTTTTGATGTTTTATACGAAACTACCGATATCTGCTGTAAACCTGTCCATTTCTAAATATATCCAGGTCAAATTCTTTTGTTTTTCTCCTTCTGGAAGTCGAGATTTTAAAGTTTCGAGGTATGACGTCGAAGGCGATTCTAGTCCCCCGTATGAAAAACACTAGGTCCCGGATGAGATGAATAAACCAACCAATCAAAGCTTTTTATAACTAGGTTAACTATAAATTAATAATTAATAAATAGCTTCTACAATATGTGCGGGACACTGTACATACGATAGATTAGGCTAATAAAGCAACCTGATAGGTGAATAGGGGTGGCCGCAGCTTGGGTGTCGATTTGGGTGGTTTCACCGCGCTGCGTAACCAACGACTTGAGCTAGACTAGCCTAGTTCTAGATGCTCTACATTTCAAGCTAAGCCTAGAATCTGTATAATTTCTATTTTTTTCTGCTGTTTTAAATTATTTCGATCATCTACTTCTTCTAAATCTAGTTTGTGTCTCTACATACAAGCATATCTAAGCAAATGTTACGTTATGTCTTGTCAGTGGTTGTTACGTCCCTTTGTTATGATTATTATAGTTGCGTCCCTTGAGTCATCACTGGGTCAACTTTTAATGTCGTTAATTAATTTAATTAGGCCTAACATGTTTTTAATTTGGTTTTGAAATCTATTAATTAATAATACAATCAACAACACGTTTAAAAGTGTAAAATATTTATTTTATTTATTAAACTAGGATTAAAACGTATAAAACACGATCGTTACGCAAGACGGTTCAGATGTTTGCAGGGAAAAAAAAAGAGGGGAAAAAAATATCGCAAGTAGCACGTCACTAAAACATGAATATCTCAAATTCAATGCGTAGGAATATAAAATGATTGATACATATTAAGAGTAGAAAGGCAGAGGAATAATATAGTACTTTGGGTTTGTTTCTGTGTTAAACGGTTACAAAATAGCGCCCGATGAAAGTCGATGAAAGTCGGGAGTTCGCTATGTGTGACCGCGCATGGAACTTTACTCTAGTTAGAATCTACATTCTAGATCAAAATCTTATTCTAGATCTAGAATATTTATTAGTAGGCCTACCTAGTGTACCTAGTTAGTAGTTACCTAGTAGATCTAGATCTAGATTCTAGATCTAGTACCCAGTAACTAGATTCTAGTAGAACTTTCTAGATATCTAGATTTAGACCTAGTCTAGGATTATCTAGATTTCTAGATTACTAGATTCTAGATCTAGATTAAATTCTAGATCTAGATTCTAGGCCTAATGACAATGTTAAATGAATGTATGTAGCTAGAGCTAAAAATAGTTTTAAAATAAAAATAGATCTAGATCTAGTTGTTAGTTACGTTAGTAGTAGTAGTAGTAGTTATCAAAATAGAAATATGATTATAGAGTCTAGATCTAGTCAGTGTAGTCGAGTCTAGCCTCTGCTAACTTTACTTTAAACTAACTTTAATTATTTATTAGGCTGCGGCAATACATAGGCATTATTAGGGGCCTATTGTCATATATCCAGGTCGGAATTAGGACCCAGCATTAAATTTGTCAACACGTTACACAATAAGCCTACTAAATTAAACATTTTCTAGGCCCATCTGTTATTATTATATATGAAGTGACTACTCGGAAAAAGATTTTTTGACCCAGCGTCTCCACTTGGTTGGCAAAAGATAATTCTGTGCATGCGCAGTGGCCTTGATAGCTGAGCTAGGGTTACAGTTAGGGCTAGGGTTCTGCGGTTGTAAACACTACACACGCATGCGCAGTACGATCAAAAACATTGCCGTGAAGGCAACTTGTAGTTTCACTCCGTTGCACATGCGTACCTTTTCCGGCTAGAGTCAGCCTATTATATATTATATAGGCTATCTTGTTTTATGTTGTGATTTGTTTCTTGTAATTCCACATGGTATCTAGTCTAATAAGTAGATCTTGCTCTAGATATATTATAAATACCCGTAATAATTTCTGATAACTGACACGGCGAACAGGAGTCATTAGTGATTAGATTACTGATTAGGTTTTACGTCTATGGTATGACTTGGCAAATGTTTACAACGCATGTACATTTTCTTGCTTGCGTGGTAGTAGTCTATAAATTATAATATAAGCTTAGGTGAACTCACTATGACCCCAATTACATTTCTATTTTTCTTGGTCTGGGAAAAAAAAAATTGTTCTTGCCATGGTTTATGTTATAAATAATCCAATTGATAAGTAAACCCATCAGAGTGACCCTGTAACCTGATTCTTCTTCTGCTGGCAAGTAAACATCAGCAGGCGATCAATGATTCTTTCAGGTGGATTGGCTAAAATTTTGGATATCTTAGTAGTAGGATCTAACAAATCCAAATTTCTGAAAGTGATATCTATAGACATCGACAAAATTATTAAATCTTGACAGGAAGTGGTACTTTACTTTATTTCATGAGCTTCAACCTACTTAATCTCTTCTCTAGCTAATGATAACCATGCTCAGTACAAAAATCATATTTCTCATATGCCTAATCTCTTCTCTAGCTAATGGTAACAATGCTCAGTATAAAAATCATATTTCTCATATGCGTAATCTCTTCTCTAGCTAATGATAACCATGCTCAGTACAAAAATCATATTTCTCATATGCCTAATCTCTTCTCTAGCTAATGGTAACAATGCTCAGTATAAAAATCATATTTCTCATATGCGTAATCTCTTCTCTAGCTAATGGTAACCATGCTCAGTACAAAAATCATATTTCTCATATGCCTAATCTCTTCTCTAGCTAATGGTAACAATGCTCAGTACAAAAAAAAAATCATATTTCTCATATGCCTAATCTCTTCTCTAGCTAATGGTAACAATGCTCAGTACAAAAATCATATTTCTCATAACCCCAAATCTCTTCTCTAGCTAATGGTAACAATGCTCAGTACAAAAAAAAATCATATTTCTCATATGCCTAATCTCTGCTTTAGCTAATGGTAACAATGCTCAGTACAAAAATCATATTTCTCATTTATCAAATCTCTTCTCTAGCTAATGATAACCATGCTCAGTACACACAAAAAATCATAATTCTCACATGCTTAATCTCTTCTCTAGCTAATGGTAACAATGCTCAGTATAAAGACACCACACAGATGTTGGAAGAAGAAAATGAACAGTTAGAAAATGAGCTCAAAGGAAAAGTTAAAGCATTGAAGTCTGTAAGTACCATTTTATTGGCATCTACCTGTTAGCACTTGCAACCAATGATTAGATGCAAGTGCTTGGTTCATTGTTAAATTATCTGCATAATGTTTTGAAATTATTTAATTCTTTTGCCATTACTGTCTTCCTAACTACATGTTAACCTTAGCCCCTGCATTTACAGTAGTATAAAACTGCAGCAACTTTTAGAAGTGCTGAAAATAATTTACGGCTTAAACAATGGTTCAACTAATTAATAAATTGCACCCATGTTTTGTATTAATATTCTTATAATTGAGATTTTAAAATGTGCAAATGTTACATTGAGTGAATGAACCCTTGAACAAATGTGCTGACACATTCTTTCTCTTTGATTCAGCTGACAATAGATATTGGGAATGAGGTCAGAGAACAAAATAAATGGCTGTCACAAGTTGTAAGTAAAGCTTCAACTGTTTTTATGGTCACATTAGTCGTATGAAGTAACTCAACTGTCTTTATGGTTACATTAGTTGTATGAAGTAACTCATCTGCTTTTTAACTTTGTCATTGTTCATTGTTTGTTATTTGATCATTATTTTAAATCAGATGATTTAGGTCATATGATGAGTGGTAGAAAATGTGTTTCAGGTATTTGTCAATGTCATACAATATGTGTATTGATAATTTGATTGAATATCTTTGTATTGATGTGTTGTCTTTGTATTGAAGTTTTACCTTTCATTTTGATGTTTTACCATTTTATTGATGTGATATATCAATGTGATAACTTAGTATTGATGTTTTACTTTGTATTGATGTGTTATTAATGTGATAACTTTTTACTGATGTTTTACCTTTGTATTGATGTGTAATTGATGTGATAACTGTACTGATGTTTTACCTTTATATTGATGTGTTATTGATGTGATAACTTTGTATTGATATTTTACCTTTATATTGATGTGTTATTGATGTGATAACTTTGTACTGATGTTTTACCTTTGTATTGATGTGTTATTGATGTGATAACTTTGTACTGATGTTTTACCTTTATATTGATGTGTTATTGATGTGATAACTTTCTACTGTTTTACCTTTGTATTGATGTGTTATTGATGTGATAACTTTGTATTGACAGGATGAAGACTTGGAGTCTTCTGGTGGCTTACTATCAAAAACAATGGGACGTCTCAAGTCTATAACAAACGCTGGTCACTGGAAAATCTGGCTCTATGTTTTATTGTTTGCATTTTTTGTCTTCTTTATGTGCTGGGTTATAGTGAGGTTTAGATAACAATCTTTGTATGCTCCCTGTGTGTGTGAGTTCAACTATGGGTGTGTGTTTCCATGATCTGTTTGATGCTGAGATTAATGGCCAATCAGGAGTTACAATCCGTGGATCAGGTTGTTTCTAGTCAGTGTAGATTACAGATATTTGTTACACCATGCATCCGTCAGGCAGGAAATAATTTGGGTTTGAGAAATACATGTTGTTGTCAAAATGTGTATTACTTCCAGAAAATTCTTTTATAATTAAGTCTCTCTTTAATAATTGGTGTGGGTTTTGTCAGAAAAAACATTTTACAATAAGAGATTAGGATGTTGGTATTAGATTTATAAGATGAATTTTGTTACAATTTTTAAAGTGCTAAAACTGGTCTTTCACAATTGAAATTTTATTGAGAACTGTTTAAACTACATAGATGGTTACAATATTTTGTTCTGATATATGTCTTGACCACGCTGTAAATATTTGTGTATCACTGTACACGTTTGGGTCAAGAGCTATTTGTTATGACAGAGAGTGTTGAATGCGTGTTTTTCCTTCTGTTTTATTTTATTTCAACGGTTCATCTGTTTGGCATAACTGAGCTCAGATTTTTACCTTCTTCAGTCTTAATGTTTATTTATTATACACCAATCTTATGGAGATACATAGCGTAAGAATAATCCAAGTATATAAAATGATGCAGCTTTTATTAGAAATATGTTTTTTTTTTTAAGTTATGAGTAAAAATTTTGGTATGATGTGAATTTAAATTCCTTTTTTTAATCTGATGGTCCGTTTATAATTTTTATTTAAGTTGTCCTTTAAAGAATGTGATTTAATATTGATTTATGCTGTTATTACTTGAGTTTTTAAAGGTCCATCTGTTAATTCTTGCATGATTCGCAGTCCTTTAAAGGCAGTTTTCTTTGCTGACAGCTTTGCTTCCATAAGTGACACCCTGCATTGTAATAAGTTTTACTGTCAATACATCAAACTTTTTTTATGTCTACACTTGTAAAAGTGTACATGAAGTGACATTTTAAAATGTCATAACACATAAATTTTTTTTCTCTTTGATAAACTGTATTTTGTCACATTTACTCTATTTTAAACTGATGTGTATGAAAGATAACGCTGAACTGGCATAAATGTATATGTTGATATAAATTAATTAAAACATGTTGAAAGAAAGCTAATGACAGCATATGTTTACAGTCATATATGACCACAAATTGTTGATGAGAGAATAAAACTCTTCTCACCTTACTTCTCTTTGATTGTTTTTGTTTTATATTAGATTCTCTAGCTCCTGCCCTCCATGTTATAGTAAACTCCTCCATTCTTGCCTGCCAACATTTTGTTGTTTGGTATCATTATCTGAGTCTCCTGTGATCTGGTTCCTTGACAATGATGAGGTCACTTGTCTAAATTTTGTACTGTACCCTGTGATTGGGTCCCTCTCAATTAATGTAATTACTAGTCTAATTAAATCTTGAACTCTATGTCCCTCTCAATTAATGTAATTACTAGTCTAACTAAATCTTGAACTCTATGTCCCTCTCAATTAATGTAATTACTAGTCTAACTAAATCTTGAACTCTATGTCCCTCTCAATTAAGGTAATTACTGATCTAAAAAAATCTTGCACTGTATTCTATGATTTGGTTCTGGAGTGAGGTAATAAGTGGTCTGATAAACGTGAACTCTTTTTCCTCTGCTCTATAAGCCAAGCAGTCAGATCTTATATTAACACTTGAAACGGGACGTCCGAGAAACGGAAATTCCCGAGCCGCACCTATTGGTGCGTTCAAAATAAGTTACAAATTAAAAACATGAGATCTAACTTCCGAGATGAACTAGATCTAGGTGGTGAGCCTTTCTCCTAATTAAAGTCTTAATTGTATGATATTGTGTGATTAAAATCTAATTTTCGGTAAGGTCTTGGTCTTTGTGACATATACGATGTGACACATAAAATACACGGTGCGTAGCATGTCAATGTATGCTGTGAGAAAACATGAGTTGGTACTCGCGTCTATGTCCGGCCTAACCAGCTTACAGGACATACAAACTCTCATGTAGGACCCAAACCTCTCATGTAGGACTTCTGTAGAATTTTCCAGCTTTTGTAGGACAACCGCAGGGCGTACGACGTATTCTGTAGGACATAACGTGTGTGTAGCGCCTGAGCAGCCCGCCAATGGCTGGCACGTCGTCTGCGAGGTTCAAGGCACCATGGAAGCTGGCCAACTTGGAGCTGCCCATGAGCCAGGATCCTTCAGGCGTCATGCTAGACATGCAGTACGAGGACGGGGAGGGCGATGAGACCTATAAGACGGCGTTCTTCTACCTCAATAGGCGGCATGATTCGTGGATGGGGTGAGTGTCTTTAGAGGTGAGACATGGGTCAGATGTCTTCAGAGGTGAGACATGGGCCAGGTGTCTTCAGAGGTGAGACAGGCCAGGTGAGTGTCTTCAGAGGTGAGACATGGGCCAGGTGTCTTCAGAGGTGAGACATGGGCCAGGTGTCTTCAGAGGTGAGACATGGGCCAGGTGTCTTCAGAGGTGAGACACACCAGGTGTCTTCAGTGGTGAGACATGCCAGGTGAGTGTTTTCAGAGGTGAGATTTGGGCTAACAGTGAACGATACTGTATGAGTGCTCTAAATGTGTTAGTTAGCTGTTTGAAAACTGACCGCCTAGCTTTCCCCATCCAGCTCTATCTATTCGACCAACGAGTACATCACCGCCATCGCTTCCTTCATCACCAACTCTCTGGTCGTCTTGGTCTTCATCCGGGTGCTCGGCTACAGGCGCCTGCCCAACCAGATGATGGTCAACATGGCACTGTGCCAATGTCTGACGGCCACCGCCTACTTCGTCCACTCCTCGCTGCTCATCACCATCAGCAAGCAGGCGGGCAGTGTGTGCGAGTGAGTACTTCATGTCTCTATCAAACGACTTTTGATTGGCGATTAAAATTTTTAGTCCAGTCTCATCTTTGAAACGAAATATTCATTGGAGTTACAATGTCGAGTGTCAACCAATGTAGAAACGCTTATATATATATATACACATATATATATATATATATATATATATATATATATATATATATATATATATATATATATATATATATAAAATTACATTTTCTGTCGATTTATTATGTTTTTAAATGTTTTCGGTTGAGCTGCTCCTATATAAATGTTAAGTGCGCATTTCCCCGGAAGTTGTAAGTGCCCCCCCCCTCCCCAAGAGAAAACATGTCTGAAAGAAACCTTGTTTTGCAGGAGCTACAATTGTATCTAACACGCCCATTAAACTTTGAACTGATGTTTCCCCAGGAGGAGCTACAAGATTTTATCCATCTCGTGGGTGTTGACGTGGGCATGCATGTCATGCGCAGTGGTGGAGCGGACATTGGCCCTGAACATGCCTAACTTCTACCAGATCACGATCGAGTTCATTGGACCGGTGCTTGTAGCGACTCCCTGGCTCTACGCCATGCTGCTCGTCGTCCTCGCGGAGTTTTTCCTCTTCCAGGCCAGTTCCGCACTCATGGCATCGTCTTGTCGTCTGCGCAGTCGCAGGTGTCGTCCTTAAATGACGTCACGATTGTTACCTGATTTTTAACCCCCCCCCCCAGTTTATGCTGTCGTCATACGTCATTACAAAAAGTCAGTCCCCCGCCCCCTTCCCCCTAAATTGACACAACAAATAGCTAACTGTCTATAACCCAAAATCTAACAAATATTAACGTGTATTTCATCAATTTTGTGCTTATAAATATACAAACTACACGTTAAGACACTTTTTTACCCTAACCCATCCCGCCTCCGAGATTTTAATGTCATTTATGGACGACACCTCACATTAAAATGGTTGGCTAGATTATCTTTGTAAATCTCTTGTTGAAGGGTAGAAATATGATACCACAATTTGAAGTTTTAAAGTAATATATGTGTGCTCTTTTAGCACATTCTATAATAGATCACATTTGTGACGTGTGTACTGTTATATGTTAGGGTGAATATATATTTCACAAGGAAACTAGATGTTAATTTTAGTGGAACAGTACTTTTAGAATATCAATGTTCTAACTCCTTCTTATATCTACTAGTCTAGTACAGCTGCACCCCTCAACCCCTTCTTATATCTACTAGTCTAGTACAGCTAAACCCCCCTAACCCCTTCTTATATCTAACAGTTTGTATCCCATCCCCTGTAGGTTGAAGACGGGTTCGGCTGTACCCACGTGATCATGCACACGCCCCTGGAGCCCACCAAGAGGGTGCTGGAGCTGATCAGCTACCTGACGCTGGTCGTCTGTCTCGTGTCGCTCATCTTGTCCAGGGTCCTCCACTCCACCCACTGTGACGACGCCTATGAGATGAACAGGGTCAGGCTGGAGATGAGGACGACGATGATCATTGCCCAGGTAGGCTGTGACTCCAGATATCTGTCACCTGTGTGATATCTGTCACCTGTGTGACTCCAGATATCTGTCACCTGTGTGACTCCAGATATTTGTCGCCTGTGTGACTCGAGATATCTGTCACCTGTGTGGCTCCAGATTTCTGTCACCTGTGTGACTCCAGATATCTGTCGCCTGTGTGGCTCCAGATATCTGTCACCTGTGTGGCTCCAGATATATGTCATCTGTGTGGCTCCAGATATATGTCATCTGTGTGGCTCCAGACATCTGTCACCTGTGTGACTCAATGACTCCTTTACATGTGTGACTCAATGACTCTTTTAAATGTGAGATTCAAAATGTCTTTTTTTTTTACTTGTGTCTACATCATGAAATTCTTGGTTATGAGCCATATAATTAGGACAGCAAACAGAGCAATACTTAAATAAAAACTAATAATGCGAATACACTTTAATTCTGTCATTTTTCGCTGAAAAATATTTTATTATTCAACAATGGGCACCAGGTCATTGCTTGTTAAAGTCCATAAATGCTCAAATTAAGAAAACAAAAATGCCGTTGCGCACTTTTATGTGCGCAGTGTTACTTTGCGCAGTTTTCCGTTGCGCATCTATCCGGTCACCTTGACTGCCATGTTTTTGTTTTAGTCACCAAACGTGTACTAGACTTGTGACTCAACTAAAGTGTCTTAAGTCACCAAATGTAAGGTTGTAACAGTTGACTTGACTGTCATGACTTTGTTGACTGAAGTCACCTAAGGTACTATTGCAACAGTTGAATTGACTGTCATGACTTTGTTGCCAGGTGGCCGCCATCCAAGTGTTGTACTTCAGCCCCCTCATCATCACCGAGTCCATCGTCTACTACGACAACAGCGAGAGCATGTTCGAGCGGGACGTCGTCCACTTCTGCTACGAGCTGGCGCTCCACAGCACCTACGTCCTCTTCCTGGTGCTCATGGGCCGCAGGGAGTTCCGCCGCTCCCTCAGGTACGTGTTCGCAAGGAGCGAGGCCATCCGCAGGCAACGCCAGCCCAACTACATCGTCGCCAGCGAGACGAGCCGGAAGCGGAAGTCCCAGAGCACGCTGACGGTGGCCACGCCCCCATTGGCTGAGATGACGGCGCGTGACGACACGATGCAGATGGACACTCCGGAGTGGCTGAGGAGGAAACAGTCGTTGCTGCAGTCGATCCTGGGCAGGGCAGATTCCGTCACCCCAGACCAGTGAACCCGTCACCCCAGACCAGTGAACCCGTCACCCCAGACCAGTGAACCCGTCACCCCAGACCAGTGAACCCGTCACCCCAGACCAGTGAACCCGTCACCCCAGACCAGTGAACCCGTCACCCCAGACCAGTGAACCCGTCACCCCAGACCAGTGAACCCGTCACCCCAGACCAGTGAACCCGTCACCCCAGACCAGTGAACCCGTCACCCCAGACCAGTGAACCCGTCACCCCAGACCAGTGAACCCGTCACCCCAGACCAGTGAACCCATCACCCCTGACTAGTGAACCCGTCACCCCAGACCAGTGAACCCGTCACCCCAGACCAGTGAACCCGTCACCCCAGACCAGTGAACCCGTCACCCCAGACCAGTGAACCCGTCACCCCAGACTAGTGAACCCCTCACCCCAGACCAGTGAACCATTCTATCATACACGATTCTGTGGTCTTTCTATGATGCTGGTTAACCGCCTAAACTTATTTAACATGGTGTTCACGTCCCACAATTTTATAGTCAATTCTGATTTCTGTGGATGAAATAAAACAGTTTACGGGAGTAAAAGGTTCACGTATCCAGGGATAAATTGTATCTCCCAGCCAGCTAATCCACTGAGTGGATCCACATACATTTGTATCCAGTGGCTAGTGACATGATTTACTTGGCCTAGGTATAGCCACATGTGACCAGAGTACAAAGACATGCAAAGACATTACGACATACAATGTTTGGACTAGTGCATGTACTGGCCGAGTTTGGTTCCTCTTATAATTATGCATGTTATTATTAAAACACTATCCATTGTTGTTATTTATTTTTCCATTCGTTTTTTTTTGGAGTCTTATTTTCTGTTATTTTTTTCTACTAAAATATGACACTAGTCATATGACAATAGTGTAGAATAATCACTTGGGCATATCCCATGAACACATGTACAACCTAGGGCATATCCCATGTGTACCTGTACAACCTAGGACATATCCCATGAACACCTGTACAACCTAGGGCATAACACGTGAACACCTGTCGAGCCTAAGGCATATTTTTCTGAATCCCCCTTCCCTAAAGAGATGCCCGAAAGAAACTCTCATCCTTAGACTTGAACTTGTCATTATACATCTGTATCTCAGGGAGAATTACGTGGCTCACCAAACCGCAGGGAGAACCGTCCAAATGACAGCATCTTAAACCGTCCAAATGACAGTATCTTAAACCGTCTAAATGACAGTATCTTAAACCGTCTAAATGACAGCATCTTGAACTGTCTAAATATCGTTGTGTTTACGAGCTTTTAACTTTAACATGCTTCCTCTGTTTTAAGTCCTTTTGTCTGTCTATTGTATCGAAACTGGCGAGCGAAATTTCGACCACTTTTAACTGACCGAATTATTTCAAACTTGGCACCTGGGTCAAGACCCGATGACAATGCAATCTGACAACACTTTTAACTTGGATGCTTAATTAACTTTTTTAAGAATGAGCTAAAATCGTTTACTAAGTTGAATGAGGCGGTTACGCCGCACGTCGTCATGGTGCGATTTGGCGCCCCAGGCTAGACTGTTGACACTTTGAGTTTATCTTTGCGTTTGTGTTTTCTTTGAGTTTGTGGTTGTGTTTAGGTTTGTTTTCGTTTTCTTTGCGTTTGTGTTTTCTTTGTGTTTGCTTTTGTGTTTTCGTTTGTTTGTATTTGCGTTTGTGTTATGTTTGCGTTTTTTTTGTGTGTTTTGGTTTTCTTTGGTTGTGGTTGGGTTTGGATTTGTTTTCGTTTGCTTTTTTGTTTGCGTTAGTGTTTTCTTTGTGTTTGTGGTTGGGTTTGTCTTTGCGTTTGTTTTTTCGTTTGTGTTTGTTTTGTGTTAGTGTTATATTTGCGTTTCTTGTGTGTTTTGGTTGGTTGTGGTTAGGGTGGGCAATGCCGGATAAATGCTGATTACTAAACACACATGTCATGGTCCTTTACAGATACGTTTTTCAGAGATGCCAGTGCAGGGTCTGGCCGGGCCGGCTAGTCTACTATATAATGTACTATTTACAGCGCTATTATATGTACCATAATTCGTGTTCAATGTTTTTAGTCCTGCAACTCGATTAGCAATTTTAAAGTATTGAAAAATGCAATAAAACTTTTCAATAACAAGCTTTTAAGTAATAATGCACTAAAAATAAGAAAATAAATTAGTTTGTTTTAGCATATTATAATAAACCATTGCGTAGATAACTATAAAGAAAAGCGTGCGTCGCTTCATAAATTCATGTAAAGATATTCAATACATGATATATCGACGTCATCAATTGATGTGAAGTTCATCATTGTTAACCTCGCCATTTCAATATGGCGGCGGTATCAAGTTTGCTTCAATCAAGTCAGCCAAGAGGATCACGGTTTCAGAAGACAGAGATCAGTCTAGGCATGACTAAGGTAACGGCGGTTTGTGGAAGATTTTCTAGGTTTTTGGTCTCGAAGGTAAATGGACCCAAGCGAGTACAGTCTCAAAGGTATTCGAGAGAACCATTTAAAACATCATGCAGGGTGGAATTAAAATTAATATGGTTTTAAAATCCTGACTGGTTGGTGTTTTAGGACTTTAGAAAAAGTGGATATATTTGACGTTTGTTGGTATTTTTGGTTCCTATTTAAATACAATTTTTAAAAAGGGTAAAAGAATTGTGGTTTTCACGTGGTAATGGCGACATAAAAAATGGCATTTGAGTAGGCTAGCATAAATTTTATTATACAAAATATAAACTAAGTGGCAGAACTAGAATTTAGGTCATGATGAAAAAAGCATTATCATATTATGTTTTTTAAAAACTTTATCTTCAAAGTTTTGCAAACAAAAAACTACACGTAGTTCCTGTACAGCCAATCAATGTTTGTCTTACGAAAGTCAAACATCCGGTTATAACTTAGGCTTGATGAAAATAAATAGAAATGGAGCCTTAAACTAAAAAAAAAACATTTTCAAGTTCTCTGGATTTGCAACTTTAAAAACATTAATTATAAAAATATTAAATTTCTGAAATATTTTTAGGTTTTATTATTTTTACGGAAGTTAAAAAATCAAATTTTTTTTTTTTTTTTTTATAAATCCATGTCAACAATATGACGGAAGGATTCTCGTCAACTCGGTGGCCTCAATTGGTACATCGATATATCTACGTTCAGCTTAAGCTACAATAATCCCTTTGTTATACGATTATGTGTTGCATGAACCTTAAGACACTATGCCTTAAGCCTTATGAATATTTAAGATCAACTAACTTTCAGCGTGAATAAATGCTACTGGCGTAGGAATACATACATACGAAAATGGCTACATTTGTAAGGTTTCAGACTTTATATCAGTTATGTGTTTAAGAAAAATAAGATTAATTTGTATTGAAATTACGAGATATCTGAAAATAAATCTTAGATAAAACTGTATTTTCATGTTTAGATGTTAAGCTTAGGGTGCGGACAAGGAGTGCGGCCCTTGTATGTTTTGGCGAATAATAATGAGCGATGATCTAGTTCGATAGTTGCCACTAAGAGAGGAATATTCAGCTTTAGGATATGGAGAGACATGAGATATAAAAGAAAGGAATATTGAACAACAGCCACATCTACTAAGCATTTAGAAAAAAAAATTTTGATCACTTTTTACATTTATACATAAGACCATCACTACTAAAACCTCTGACACAATAACTTCCTGATGTACAACCTTTGACTTCTGACACCATAACCTCCTAATGTACAACCTCTGACACCATAACCTCCTTATGTACAACCTCGCGACACCATAACCTCCTGGTGTACAACCTCGTGACACCATAACCTCATGGTGTACAACCTTTAACCTCTGACACTATAACCTCCCAATGTAGGCCTACAACCTCTGGCACCATAACCTCCTGATTTAAAACCTTTGACCTCTAACACCATGACCTCCCAATGTACAACCTCTGACACCATAACCTCCCAATGTACAACCTCTGACACCATAACCTCCCAATGTACAACCTCTGACACCATAACCTCCCAATGTACAACCTCGTGACACCATAACCTCCTAATGTACAACCTTTGACACCATCCAGTCCGCAGAAACTGACTGGAGCCGTCTACCCTACCCAGCCTTGCTGCTAGTCTTCCAGCAACTGGACGTCATAGACCGGTGCCACGCCTACCTGACGTGTAGAGCCTGGCTGCACAAGCTCTCACCACCGTCCTTGTGGCGTAGCTGCCACTTCACCTTGCACCCTACCACAGCTGATACGTCGCCTCAGTTTCCCGTGATCCTGGGGGAATCGTTACGCCACCTTCAAGTCGACTGTTCAGGTTACCGCTGTTGTTGTTTGGCTTCGATATAGTTTAAAACGAGCTGTGAATGCAAAGCGCCATCATGGTATTCAGTTTTATATGGGGTACGGGTGTTAACATCAACGTTTATTACACTGCCTTATATTTGTATACTGCAATCTGTAGGAATACTCTGAACCGGTTAAGGATCTGTCATTTGGTTTAGCTTTAACTTTAACTTTCACTTATTAAACCAGATGACTCTAGAACTAAAGTGGTCTACGACTTGCTAGAGAGCATGCTGCAGGCTGGCAACCAGCGACTGGTCACTGTTAGCTTGACCAGCATGAGGAGGCTCCAGCCTGACTTCATCCACGCCACGCCGGACCTGGTCAAACACCTCGCCACTTTGTTGGCGAACCAGCGACAGCTGCGTGTGCTCGATCTCACAAACGCTGATCTAACTATAAACCAAGGTCAGTAGCACTGGTCTGATTGATGAACAACATATGTATATATATATATATATATATATATAAGCAATATATATTTCTCGCTGTATTTACATTATTGTTTGTTTGACTAAAGCAGTCCGATATTTTAGAAAAAAAAATTAATACATCAATTATTTTTATGCTGTCTCTAACCAATAATTTGTATACGAACCAGTTAAGATGTGTCGCCTTGTTAAAATCCACCTAACACTCATACGTTTTACAAGCACAAACGTGACAACCACTTGCAGGTGTACAACTGTTGGCGGCTGCCCGTAACACCATTCACACCTTGGCCATTGACAACCTCTTCTTCACGTGGTTTGATTATTCCTTGATCAAAGACATCGAGGATGCCATTTTCCGCTTCACCAACTTGAAGGGTGAGTTTGACCAATCTTGCTTGTACCATTTACAATGTTGTTTGATCAATCTAGTTTGTACCATTTACAATGTTGTTTGATCAATCTAGTTTGTACCATTTACAATGTTGTTTGATCAATCTAGTTTGTACCATTTACAATGTTGTTTGATCAATCTAGTTTGTACCATTTACAATGTTGTCGCTATATACCCGTATATAGTACCTGGTAGACAGGCAAATATCTGGCTCTTCTAAACGTACAGCCCAGTTTTTGCGCATTGATTTACAAGGCGCTGTCATTCAATCGTCTATGTGACTACAGGGCCAATTATTTATTTAGATAGAACAAGTCATCATCCCCTATGCAGAAACCGGCATTGTGTGCCAGAACTTACAGATATTGTCGTGTGATGGAAATAATTTGCAAAATTTATATATATATATATATATATATATATATATATATATATATATATATATATATATATATATATATATATATATATATATATATATGTATGAGACTACCATGTTTTTTAGACTTAGAGATCACCTAAAACCTAATGATTGACTTTTGGTTTCTTTCAGACTTAGAGATAAACTATGACTGTCTGTCTGATTGCCGTTTCTTTCAGACCTAGAGATCAACTATGACTGCATGTCTGACTGTCGTTTGTTTCAGACCTAGAGATAAACTATGACTGCCTGCGTGATTCGTTGCTGTACGGCCTGGCCAAGACAGCCAGGAACAAGTTGCAGACGATAAAAATTGTCGTCAGCAACAACTACACCATCGAGGAGGTGACGACGTCTGCGGCCTGGCTAAATCTCACATCCGCATGTCCACACTTGAAAGTTGTGTTTGTTATCGAACTGGAAAACGTAAGCATTGTTTTAGATCCTTGACAGACCCCCACGTTACGAGCTCAAATAATCACATACAAAATTATACTTTAGTTTTGTCGCTCTATTTATCATATAAAAGACATTAGTTGTGATAAGTTTACATTGCATGACGCAACTTTATTTACCTTCTATAGAACGTGTGTTGTGATAAGTTTACATTGCATGACGCAACTTTATTTACCTTCTATAGAACGTGTGTTGTGATAAGTTTACATTGCATGACGCAACTTTGTTTACCTTCTATAGAACGTGTGTTGTGATAAGTTTACATTGCATGACGCAACTTTATTTACCTTCTATAGAACGTGTGTTGTGATAAGTTTACATTGCATGACGCAACTTTATTTACCTTCTATAGAACGTGTGTTGTGATAAGTTTACATTGCATGACGCAACTTTATTTACCTTCTATAGAACGTGTGTTATGATGGGTTAACATTGTTTGACACACTTTTAATTACCTCCTACAGGACATGTGTGCTGATGATGACCTAATTAACGCCTTGACCCCGTCCATGCCACTGCATGCCTTACATTTTACCGCGGGGACGGAGTTGACCCATTTAACAGAGGAGACCTTTGAGTACATCGGCGATACCTTTAAGGTGAGTCACCACAATTACGGCCAATCTCTTTCAGGGTTGATATATATATATATACATATATATATATATATATATATATATATATATATATATATATATATATATATATATATATATATATATATATATATATATATATATATATAGTTCAACTTATAGCTCTGTTTTGACATAAACAATCACTATCCGTCACACTAAATATTATAACAACTTTTAAATTGTTTTGTATAGAACTCATTGCGGCATGTTCAAATCAAATACGAAAGTTACCTACCTAAAAGATACATCGTAGAACTGATTAACAGGTAAGCTAGCTGTCCTTGTTTAGCTTTGTTCATCTTTTGTCAAACAAACTCAGAGCAGTTATATATTTGGGTATTTTAAAAAGCCGTGATGTAAGCATAGTCTTCACCAAATTCTTATGCGGGGATTTCTTTAATTAAACCAGAAGCAATGTCGAGAAATGTTTTTATTTGCAATTTTTAAAAATGGGATAACAGACCAACGGTCAGTTGGTCAGCGAGTTGGCTGAGGTGAGTTGTGTTCACAGATGATTTAATGACTGAGAGCCTAACACAGACGGTCATCTTTTCTCCATCGTACCTAAACACATGGGAAGATGAAGTAGAGTTCATCTGATTTAACCGTATCGTGTAACTAGTTAAACCGTTGGTCGCTAAAAAAATCTTTGACACACATTGTCATGGGTTGATGTAGAGTAGATGACGTACTAGGGCTGGGTATCGTGAGTGTTGTTTAGCACATATATAGTTATTAGACATGGCGGGTAAACTAGTTATTTCAAAATATATTACCTAATATGATAGGTGGTAAACTTTGGAAATATCATCTAACTAGTTGTTATGGAACATCAACGTTTTATACACGAGAAAATCTTTAACCAACTACACAAATCACACCCAACTTATTCAGAACCCCTGCTCCCCCTTCCCACTCCACCACCACCATCCAATTACCCGTTGATCTATTTATTGACAGACGCCACAAAAAGAAATAACATTTTTTGTTGTGAGTTAACTATTTCCCCATTCTTTCTTCAAAGAGTCGTTGTACTACAATCTTCATTTTATCACTATGACTTACAATCAAAACAAACAGTATTACTTTTATTTATATAAAACATGGTAACAACAATTTAAGATAACTTTGTGTCAACACACTAGATTAGAACTAATGACAAACATTTTGTCCCACTTACCAGCTGACCTAGAACATTTTGTCCCACTTACCAGCTGACCTAGAACATTTTGTCCCACTTACCAGATGACCTAGAACTAATGACAAACATTTTGTCCCACTTACCAGCTGACGTAGAACTAATGACAAAAACTTTGTCCCACTTACCAGCTGACATAGAACTAACGACAAACATTTTGTCCCACTTACCAGCTGACCTAGAACATTTTGTCCCACTTACCAGCTGACCTAGAACTAATGACAAACATTTTGTCCCACTTACCAGCTGACCTAGAACATTTTGTCCCACTTACCAGCTGACCTAGAACATTTTGTCCCACTTACTAGCTGACCTAGAACTAATGACAAACATTTTGTCCCACTTACCAGCTGACCTAGAACTAATGACAAACATTTTGTCCCACTTACCAGCTGACCTAGAACATTTTGTCCCACTTACCAGCTGACCTAGAACATTTTGTCCCACTTACCAGCTGAACTAGAACTAATGACAAACATTTTGTCCCACTTACCAGCTGACCTAGAACATTTTGTCCCACTTACCAGCTGACCTAGAACATTTTGTCCCACTTACCAGCTGCTCCAGCCTAGAGACGGTGACCGTAATGGAACGTTTCCAATCAAGTTACGTCACGATCAATTTCAAGCGGCTGCCCCGAACTTCTCGCGCCTGCTTCAGACAGACACACACCTTCACGGTCACACTTGATGCCGAGTTCAAGGTTGTTCTGGAACCTCAGGTCACCCCGCCCCACACAAGTTGGTCCGTGGATCGGATGAAATCGTACTGGACAGCGGCCTACAATTCCTGGGTGGGAGTGTACAAATGGTGGACGAAATAAAGCCAGGGTCAAATAATTATCAGGGTGTTTATTCAATTATGTTTTAGTCATTTGTATTCATACTTTTTATTCTACAAAAACAACAGTTTTATCGACTACGTGATATATCTATCCTTTAATATACCTAACAAATAAGCCTAATTAATACGTTTCTGAATGTTAATAATCTTTCCAAGCTTGTCTGTATAGGTATATATAGATATAAAATATTTGAGGCAATACATGTTTCAGTATCTGATACTTGAGATAAACGGAAATCTAAACATATATAACAACAGTTTGAAAACATACAATTCGATGCTGAACTCATACAATCTGTAACTAAACGCTTACTACCCAAAGCTAAACACAGGTAAACACATACACATAGAGGCTAAACACGTATTCCCGCAAGCTAAAGATCTGCAGCTCCAAAATCTAACAACACATCTCACAAACTAGATACGAGAATACACAGGGTATTAGATCTGAAAACATCTTGCTGGAAATATGAGATTTGGCCTACAGCAGAAATACATGCAAGAAGAATACTATGAGTGTATTTGACAATGTCATGTTTAGTTCGTAAGGTCGAAATAACAGGATATTGATCAACTCAAAACATCATTTTATTGGCTGTCTATTAGTTCAAATATATCCAACAAGTTGTTGTGTTGTGTGTTCCATACAACTTAAAGCATCATTTTATTGGCTGTCTATTAGTTCAAATATAGCCAACAAGTTGTTGTGTTGTGTGTTCCATACAACTTAAAGCATCATTTTATTGGCTGTCTATTAGTTCAAATATATAGACAGTTGTTGTGTTGTGTTCCATACAACTTAAAGCATCATTTTATTGGCTGTCTATTAGTTCAAATATATAGACAGTTGTTGTGTTGTGTTCCATACAACTTAAAGCATCATTTTATTGGCTGTCTATTAGTTAAAATATATAGAAAGTTGTTGTGTTGTGTTCCATACAACTTAAAGCATTATTTTATTGGCTATTAGTTAAAATATATAGAAAGTTGTTGTGCTGTGTTCCATAACTATTTCTGACCAGGGTATCTTCCAGAATTTTTTTTCTCCGGGGGTCACTTGAAATTTTTAGGGGGGGGGGGACGGGGACTAAAACTTTCTGTGGGGGGGGGGGGGGGGCGGAAATAATTTCCGGAGGCGGGGTGGTAGACTATCTACGGGAGGGGGGGGGGGACACTTGCCCTCCGTTTCCTCCCCCCCCCCCCCCCCCCCCCCCCCAAAGAGATGCCTGGAAGATACAATGACTTTAACCAACACGAATTGTATTATCGCCCCAGTTGTCTGCCAGGAACCATGTCTTTATTGTCGGCGTAGATCAAGGCGTGTGTGTCCAGTTTATTTTTACTTTAGCCTTACACCTTTTAAATACAGTAGCAGTGATAAAGTGATATATTCAAACTGTATTCAATAGTTTTAGAAACGAGTAAGGTATAGACTATAGACAATCGAGCTCAATAAACATAGTTGTTTCTGACAATTTATTTTTGAGAAACCGGAAATAAAGTAGGCCTACTTTTCCGACTATTGGAAACTACTGAAAAATTTGTCATAAATCAGCGATTAAGATTTTATATTTAAACATGAAATTTCTTCCACCTAAATAAATCAGCAGACAAGTTTAGTATTCACACTTCTGGTTACAAAAACTGTTCAAAAGTTGAAAGAAAGGTTCGCTTACAATTCAATACTTTTTTGTGTAGTGTCGTCCGCCGTATGTAAACGGTACTCAAGTTGTCGGCTTTTGAGAAACTGGAAATAGAATCATTACCATTATCGGATACTGGAAATATCTTAAAAGTTGATAGGAATCCACACATTTTATTTATTACAAGTACGAAATTTCTTCAACATAAATGAAACAGTACTTGAATGGAGGCGAGCGAGTTGACGAGATTCCGTCCCCAATGTTGTTGACATGGAATAAAAACGTGCTTTTTAAGATTTAGACCGTAAAAAAAATAAAAAATAAAAACTTAAGCCTAAAATTAATTTAGAAATTTTATATTTTTAGAATAAATGCTATACAAGTTGCAAATCCAGAGAACTTGAAAATAATTTGTTGAGTTTAAGGCTACATTTCTATTTATTTTCATCAAGCCTAAGTTAAAACCGGATGTTTCACTTTCGTAAGACAAATATTGATTGGCTGTACAGTAACTTATTTGTTTACAAAACTTTGCAGATCAAGTTTTTAAATAACAATGCAAATTAAAAACCCCATGACCTAGTTTTCTATTTTTAGCTTACAATGTGTACAATAAAATCAATGACGGCCTATCCAATAGCAGGATGCCATTGTTTATGTCGCCATTACACGTGAAAACCAAATTGTTTTTGCTTTTTTTTTTAATTTTTATTTAGTTACCGAAAATATTATAAACATCAAATACATCCAATCTTTAGTAAAGTCCGAAAAAAACCAGATAGACAGGATTTTATAACCATATTATTGTAACTACGCTGTGCATGATTTTTAAACTAATTTATACACCTCTCAAATACCTTTGAGAGTTTTCTCGCTCGTGTCCATTGTCGGTATTTTAGAAACCTGAAATGGATTAAAATACCACTTCCAGTTATTGGACGTTATTGTGTACACAGACGCACACACAAACAGACAAACAGACAAAAACTAGGTTGCTTCGACTCAGGTAGGTGTAAAGGTTGAGATTTGTTGGAAATCTGATTGTGATTGTTGCATGATTGATTCGCGTGATCTATACTTCTTATATAAGAAAGTAAGAAGAAGAATCTTCAGTAGGGAAGAAGTATTTTTTTTTTAGTAAGACGTCACCAAATGTTGTGAAGTACATCACTGTTTACCTCGCCAATGAAATATGGCGGCGGTCTCAAGTTTCCCTCCAACATATGGCAGGATTACAGAAGCAGGCGAGAGGATGATAGAAGCAGACGAGAGGATGATAGAAGCAGACGACAGAGATCTGTCTTGACATGCTGACTTTAGCTGTAGATGACTAGTAGATTTTATGTCTTAAAGGTAAATCTCTTTCTGTCTAGTTCCTCTACTAATGTAACTAAGGTAAATCTATTTCTGTCTAGTTCCTCTACTAATGTAACTCCACATAGGTGAGCTAGAGATCAGATGAACAGAATCAGCAACAATTGTCAGAACTGAGCATTATAGGACTGTGTAGTTTAAGCGGTAGAGCTAGTCTGATAACCCGAAAGTCTCGAGTTCGAAATTGGATTCAAAGTCATTAGAACGTCCCTCAGTCCACCCAGCTCTGGTGGGTATCTAATTCATGTTAGGGAAACTTTCCCGGAAAGTAAAGGAAGTTGGGCAAAGTGCTGACCATACCATCCCTTCATATGCAGAGGTCAAGAAGCACATGAACTCTACTTCATCTGCCAATGGATCGCTGGGTCTAAAGATGATTCTTGTTATGTATTATTATTTTACACATTGTTGGCAGAAAGGTGGCAAAAATAAGGCACACTCTTCACACACATAGAGATCAATGTCCAAACAAATAATGTCTAATATCCACACAAATAATGTCCAATGTCAAAACCAGTAATGTCCAATGTCCACACCAGTAATGTCGTCCAATATCCATACAATGAGATCACTATTCTAAAGTTGGAGAGTATTCTAGAATTCTTGCCCTAAGATTGAAGTTCCATAGTTTGCAAAGATATACAAGAGCTAAAGTAAAAAATAAACGATTCACTGAAATTATTTTCACTAATAATACAGTACAAATAAAAACTTTGTTGACCTTTGGAAATTTTTTTTTTCTCTGCAGTAAAACAGTTTTTGTCGACCAAGTCATGAAAACGATTTCTGACTGCTGTCCTGTATATCTCATACAGACAACACATACAGCTGTCCTGTATATCTGATACAGCAAATACAGTCGTACTGAGATATCTGATACAGAGTTACAACACAAACAGCGGTACTGAGACACCATACAGACTTACAACACATACAGCCGTGCTAAGATATCTAACACAGGCTTACCACACATACAGCTGTCTTATACGTCTGACACAGACTTACAGTAAATACAGCCGCACTGAGTCACCCGTACAGCCGTACTGAGACACCCGTACAGTCGTACTGAGACACCCATACTGCCGTACTCAGACCACCACCTCGTTCGTGTCCATCAGCTGACCATCCATGGGGAGCCAATCGTCCAGAGTATCTGAACCACCAAACAAACGGTCCAAACTTGAACAAGACATCACTGGTCAAGACGTCACTGGTCAAGACGCCACTGGTCAAGACGCCACTGGTCAAGACGCCACTGGTCAAGATGTCACTGGTCAAGATGATGACAGCAGTTCTCAGAATGCTGTCAACACTGGGCCAGACCACAGGCGGGTCAGCAATGACCAACACTTTGAAACCATTACAGCAATGCTGGACAACATCAAAGAAGATCTGGCAAGAATTAAGAGCAAACTAAAGGTCAGTGACCTAACGCATTACCATGGCGATGGGCCAAGTCAGAATAGGAGCAGGAATGGCAGAAGAAATGTACACACAGAACTGGTAGGTTTTGTAAGTCACTCTGCTTTAATTATTTAATGTATGCATATTTTAGAGGATTTAACATTTGAGTTGTCCATGCAGTTAAACATGTACTAACCCATGACACCATCCAGTTTACAGAAGCTGGCTGGAACCGTCTACCTTACCTGGTCTTGGTTCAAGTCTTCCAACACCTGGACCAGACAGACAGGTATCACGCTGCTCTCACGTGTAAATCCTGGCTACTGGCACTCTCTAGTCCAGTCTTGTGGCGCACGGGACACTTCACCTTTAACGCTAACAAGGCTGACAGAGCCCTACATTTCGCAAGGAAACATGGAGAATCTTTGCTTCACATCAAGGCCGACTGTTCAGGTTGGTAACGATTGTATTGAACGTTTCGAGCAAATATTGACACAGATACTAACTGGACACTTAAGATCTAGTTTTAATTATCTCCATTGTTCCACAGCTGGAGACTTAAGATCTAATTATGATTATCTCCCTTGTTCCAGAGCTGGAGACTTAAGATCTAATTATGATTATCTCCCTTGTTCCAGAGCTGGAGACTTAAGATCTAATTATGATTATCTCCCTTGTTCCACAGCTGGAGACTTAAGATCTAATTATGATTATCTCCCTTGTTCCAGAGCTGGAGACTTAAGATCTAATTATGATTATCTCCCTTGTTCCACAGCTGGAGACTTAAGATCTAATTATGATTATCTCCCTTGTTCCAGAGCTGGAGACTTAAGATCTAATTATGATTATCTCCCTTGTTCCAGAGCTGACCGACGGCCGCCCTCACACGTCCACATCCGTGGTGTACCAGTTCCTGGACATCATCCTCCAGGCCGGCAACCAACAGCTGCTCACCCTGAGCCTGACCAACATGAGCAAGTTGTGGAAATCCGTCGCCCACCCCATGCTGGACGTGGTAGATCACATCGAGAAGCTGCTAGAACACCAGCAACATCTGCGTCTGCTAGACCTCAGTAACGCTGGTCTAAGTGTTGAACATGGTCAGTAGCGTTGGTCTAAGTGTTGAACATGGTCAGTAACGTTGGTCTAAGTGTTGAACACGGTCAGTAACGCTGGTCTAAGTGTTGAACATGGTCAGTAGCGTTGGTCTAAGTGTTGAACACGGTCAGTAGCGTTGGTCTAAGTGTTGAACATGGTCAGTAGCGTTGGTCTAAGTGTTGAACACGGTCAGTAGCGTTGGTCTAAGCGTTGAACACGGTCAGTAGCGTTGGTCTAAGTGTTGAACACGGTCAGTAGCGTTGGTCTAAGTGTTGAACATGGTCAGTAGCGTTGGTCTAAGTGTTGAACACGGTCAGTAGCGTTGGTCTAAGTGTTGAACACGGTCAGTAGCGTTGGTCTAAGTGTTGAACACGGTCAGTAGCGTTGGTCTAAGTGTTGTACATGGTCAGTAGCGTTGGTCTAAGTGTTGAACACGGTCAGTAGCGTTGGTCTAAGTGTTGAACACGGTCAGTAGCGTTGGTCTAAGTGTTGAACACGGTCAGTAGCGTTGGTCTAAGTGTTGAACATGGTCAGTAGAGTTAATTTGACCACGAAATCATGAAACCTATTGACATGCTCTTTCTTAGAAAGCCCCACCTGTCAGGTGATGTACCTTGGAGCCCCACCTGTCAGATGATGGTACCACAAAGCCCTACCTGTCAGATGATGGTACGACAAAGCCCCACCTGTCAGGTGATGGTACCAAGAAGCCCCATCAGTCAGATGATGGTACCACAAAGCCCCACCTGTCAGGTGATGGTACCACAAAGCCCTACCTGTCAGATGATGGTACCACAAAGCCCCACCTGTCAGGTAATGGTACCAAGAAGCCCCACCTGTCTGGTGATGGTACCACAAAGCTCCACCTGTCAGGTGATGGTACCACAAAGCCCCACCTGTCAGGTGATGGTACCACAAAGCCCCACCTGTCAGGTGATGGTACCACAAAGCCCTACCTGTCAGATGATGGTACCACAAAGCCCCACCTGTCAGATGATGGTACTACAAAGCCCCACCTGTCAGATGATGGTACTACAAAGCCCCACCTGTCAGGTGATGGTACCACAAAGCCCCACCTGTCAGGTGATGGTACTACAAAGCCCCACCTGTCAGATGATGGTACTACAAAGCCCCACCTGTCAGATGATGGTACCACAAAGCCACATGTCAGGTGATGGTACCACAAAGCCCCACCTGTCAGATGATGGTACCACAAAGCCACATGTCAGGTGATGGTACCACAAAGCCCCACCTGTCAGATGATGGTACCACAAAGCCCCACCTGTCAGGTGATGGTACCACAAAGCCCCACCTGTCAGGTGATGGTACCACAAAGCCCGACCTGTCAGATGATGTACCTTGAAGCCCCACCTGCCAGGTGATGGTATCACGAAACATTTCTTCGTGCAGACAAGATCCGAACCCTAGATAAGCTCTAGTGTCTCTCTCTGCCTCAATACTGGCAGCCTAACTCCCCGACCAAATGCCACTAGACTAATTCAGAATGCAGATCAAAGCTGAACTGAAACATTAAAAATGACCAACTATGAAATTCGAAAATCGTTCGATAGAAAATATTACGTCCATACCGTAATATTGTCTTACCGTACCGTAATATTGTCTTACCGTACCGTAATATTGTCTTACCGTACCGTAATATTGTCTTACCGTACTGTAAAAGATCTTGTACCTTAACTTAGTCTGTACCCTGCTGTGACGTAGCTGGTGACGTCACAATCTAACGACCTGTTACTCACCAAACTACTGCAGGTGTACGCCTGTTGCAGGCGGCCAGCATCACCTGTGGCCAGACAATCGACAGCCTGTCCATCCATGAGCTCATCAACAGCCAGCTCTTGTCTCCACTGGACGACATTAGAACTGACCGGTCCTTTCTCTCCGTCATGTGCTACTTTAGCAACTTGTCTGGTAAGTTTGATTCACTTTATTTGTCACATTTGATCCAGCCTACTTGTCACATTTGATCCAGCCTACTTGTCACATTTGATCCACCCTACTTGTCACATTTGATCCACCCTGCTTGTCACATTTGATCCACCCTACTTGTCACATTTGATCCACCCTACTTGTCACATTTGATCCACCCTACTTGTCACATTTGATCCACCCTACTTGTCACATTTGATCCACCCTACTTGTCACATTTGATCCACCCTACTTGTCACATTTGATCCACCCTACTTGTCACATTTGATCCACCCTGCTTGTCACATTTGATCCACCCTACTTGTCACATTTGATCCACCCTACTTGTCACATTTGATCCACCCTACTTGTCACATTTGATCCACCCTACTTGTCACATTTGATCCACCCTACTTGTCACATTTGATCCATCATACTTGTCACATTTGATCCACCCTACTTATCACATTTGATCCACCCTACTTGTCACCATTTATAAACCTTACTTGTCACATCTGATCCACCCTACTTGTCACATCTGATCCACCCACCTTGTCACATGTGATCCATCATACTTGTCACATTTGATCCACCCTACTTGTCACATTTGATCCACCCTGCGAACATGTAAACTTCGTGTAAGCTGTAGTGACAGTGTGACAAAGACAAGGATATGCCAGTTCAAACATCCCTCTCAAGGTTTTGTGGCCCTGAGCTAGAGGCCAGCACTTGGCCCACGTGGTGTAAACCAGTGTTTCTTCCAGACTTTTTTCTCCGGGGAGGGGGGGGCTCTTGAAAAATTCGGGGGGGGGGGGGGGGGGGTAACAATTCGGGGGGGGGGGGACGCTAGTAAAAGTGTATGTTTACTATACAAAATCCATCTCGTTCGGGTGGGGAGGTAGACTTTCTTCGGGGGGACGGAACCCCCCCCCCCCCCCCCGAAGAGATGCCTGGAAGAAACTCTGGTGTTAATACGTTGGATGGAGTGTCTGTGTTTTTGTGGACAAGCCATTTCATGGATCATTGGCCTTACTGGTCAACTAGCAGACACCAAATAATTAGTCTGCTCTATCAGGCTATAGACCGAATGACTTCCCAGTCCGATTCTAGACGGATAGTTTTATACATGGGACATCGGCATTCAACTTTCTAAAGGATTTGACAAATCTGTGTATCATAGAACTTCGTCGATAGCTAGAGCTAATATAATATAACGCGACGCTCATTTACGACTACATGTCTACCTGTTTCACACCCACAGCTATAACTACATATCTACCTGTATCTCTCACACCTACAGCTATAACTACATGTCTGCCTGTTTCACACCCACAGCTATAACTACATGTCTGCCTATATCTCTCACACCTACAGCTATAACTACATGCCTATCTGTTTCAGACTTACAGCTATAACTACATGTCTGCCTGTTTCACGCCCACAGCTATAACTACATGCCTATCTGTTTCAGACTTACAGCTATAACTACATGCCTATCTGTTTCAGACTTACAGCTATAACTACATGCCTATCTGTTTCAGACTTACAGCTATAACTACATGCCTATCTGTTTCAGACTTACAGCTATAACTACATGCCTGCCTGTTTCAGACCTACAGCTATAACTACATGCCTATCTGTTTCAGACTTACAGCTATAACTACATGCCTATCTGTTTCAGACTTACAGCTATAACTACATGCCTATCTGTTTCAGACTTACAGCTATAACTACATGTCTGCCTGTTTCAGACCTACAGCTGAGCTACGACTACCTGTCAGACGACCTGTTGCACTGTCTGTCCGAGACAGTCAGCAACAGCCTCCAGACGATGACCATACGTGCCAACTTCAACTTTAGCGCGTACACTCTGACCTCAGACAAAGGCTGGCATCAGATGACTAGTGCGTGTCCTAGACTCAAAGTCATTGTCTACATCACAGCTAAGGGTGTAAGCTGCTTTCCTACAAATTATATAACATATATATATATATATATATATATATAATCTATGATGATACGGCTCTATAGTACCTTGTATCACAAGCTTTTTTCTGGGGTCACAGTGTTCGTTGCTTAAGAATTATGTAGAAGGCTTTAACTGTAAAATGCTGATAAAACTCTAGCATGATAACGTTGAAATATGTGACTAAACCTAGCAGTCATGCCGACGTTTATCCCCTGATTATCTACTTGACCAGGATGCTAATCCCGACCAATACCTGTGTAATATCCTGAGCCGAGCTATCCCACTGCACGAGCTGTACCTGGCGTCAGTCTCGTGGTTCACCTTCATTTCATACCGCAGCTTCCAACATATCGCCGACAACTTTCAGGTGAGTCAACACAACTTTCAGGTGAGTCAACACAACTTTCAGGTGAGTCAACACAACTTTCAGGTGAGTCAACGCAACTTTCAGGTGAGTCAACACAACTTTCAGGTGAGTCAACACAACTTTCAGGTGAGTCAACACAACTTTCAGGTGAGTCAACACAACTTTCAGGTGAGTCAACACAACTTTCAGGTAATCGCTGGCCTTACACTAAACAACTGGCCTTAAACAACTGGCCTTACACTAAACAACTGGCCCTAAACAACTGGCCTTACACTAAACAACTGGCCTTACAATAAACAACTGGCCTTAAACAACTGGCCTTGAACTAAACAACTGGCCTTTAACAACTGGCCTTACACTAAACAACTGGCCTTGAACATTAACACTTACACGAACCAACTGGGTTGAGACATCTGACATTAAGAAACTTGCTTATTAAATAACTAATTACACAAAATAACTAGTCTTAAAATAGCCTTAGCATTAAAAGTAGATCTGCCATTCCTAGGTCGTTCCGTTACTTTCCTAAAACGTATATTGTTTTTATAGAAATCTCTTCGTCTTCTTGACCTAAGTTACGACTGTTACCTGGATACCAATGGCATTGCTAAAGTTATAGAGAGGTGAGTACATTGCTAAAGCTATCACATGTGAGTTAGCGCTTCTAGATAGATGGTGTGCATCTATGATAAAACACGCGAAGGGTGGTGGTAGTACATTAGTTGTATAGATTTATGATTCGATGAATACAGCAACACAAACAGGCCGTGTCACACACATTTGGCCCATAAGGCATTAAACTTGGGTACAATGCAGGGATTCTCTAGAATACGGTCGGTCTCTGATATTTTTAAAATAGAAGACGTCAAGGACGTATTGCCATGCTTACGACTAAGATGGCAGGGAGGGGGGGGGGTAGAGCATCTTCCTCTATTTGGAGTCTTGTAAATATTTTTCATGTTGAATTTAGTGTGGTCATTCTTGTTAATAATCGTGGATTCGTGTGACGCCTAGAAGTGTCGCTAATAGATTAGCTATCAAATCAAGCTTATTGATAATAAAAAAGAAATTAAGAAGAAAAATCTAAATCTTTGATACAAGCAAATAGGGAGCTAAATTGTATCTGTTGTTTACCTTACAGCTGCCACAAGTTGGAGCTGTTAAATTGTATCCGTTGTTTACCTTACAGCTGCCACAAGTTGGAGCTGTTGAGCTTGAGGAAACAGTTCTCTGCAGGTGAATGCCATAGTTGCTACAAGAGAATGATACAGCTCAGCATCTCTTGCTACTCGGCGACACCAACCTGCGCCATCACACTGAACGGCGAGCCCTTCAATCTTAAGGAAACTTCACTCACGCGCTGGGTGTGAGCTGCCTGCTGGGGCACGTGCATAGCTGGGACATGTGTACAGCTGGGACATGTGTACAGCTGAGACACGTGTACAGCTGTAGTGTACAGCTGTAGCACGTGTACAGCTGGTTTTACTACATCTGGCAGAACTACAGGGCGTCAAGCCCCTCGAGGGTGGGGGTGTGTGTTACGCCCTAACTGACAACAAATAAAATACGGTATAAAATACAAATCTCTGAGTGTATTTTGTACATTTTTGCCTATGTCGTTGTTGAATTTTTTACATCCAGAAACACTGTTAGGTCTGGAAATGGCAATCAAATACTACACAACCACTGACAGAGTCCCCCCCCCCCCCCACGAACGACATGAAATTTATATAATTTATACAGAAAATATATACTTTTAACAGTGTCCGCCCCCCTGAAGAAAGTCTACCCCCCCCCCCCCCCCCCCCCCCGAAAATTTCAAATATCCCCCGGAGAAAAAAGTCTGGAAGAAACACTGACCACTGAAGAGAAGGATTCCACTTTTTTTTTTACTTTGTTTAGTTAACAAAATACCAAAAACATTACGTACAACCAACAATTTATTGTAAAACCCAACACAAACTAGCCAGTTAGATTTTTTATTAAACCATTTTCATTTGAATAATATCGTACATGCTTTCTAAATTATTTAATGCGCCTTTCGTGTGGTTTCGAGATTATTTGTGTAGACTTAGTTTTTTCCCCTAGAAATATACGTCATCAAAGAATGCGCGTGACGTCACTTGAATCTTTCGATCAAGCATGGCGTCTGTGTAGACTATAAAGTATAGTATTAATTCTGTCGATAGATTTGCGTTGCAAAACGTCAAGAACCAGTGTTACCCCGTGTATTTGTTGTAGATAGTAAAACATAGCATACTGAATAATCACTTAATGGCTGTCGATAAACGAGGTAAACAAGCGAAGAGAAAATGCCAAACAAAAAAGGCCAAACGTGGCAAGGAAATTGTGGTAGGTCTTCTCTTTCACGTTATAGACTCTAGTAGGTGGTAGTCTAGATCTAGGTCATCACTTGCACATTATTTATTAGGTTTTAGGTTATCATTTTCACATTTTATTAGGTGGTAGATCTAGATCTAGGTCACCACTTTTACATTATTTCAGATCTAGTTCGATTTGAATATTTTCTCATTATATTAGATCTAAATTCTAGTTAGCAGGTCCTTACTCTCACATTTTATAAAGGTGGTAGCTCATTACTTTCAACTATAGTAGGTGGTAGATCTAGGTCTTTATTTTGAGTAATTAGATCAGAATTTAGATCATTAATTGAATTAAACATCTACAGCTCACCCTTCAATTAAAGTCAGACATTTTAACTGGTTATCAAATTTTTTTACTAAATTTCTTATCTGTTTCATATGAGGATGTTCTAGAGTTAGATCATTAAACCATAACAAGAAGCTTAGATTAATTAATCCTAACCATGGTGCTACACGAACCCCTCTAGAAACAAACTGACTGGAGCAAGTTGCCGCACGCTGTACTGCTGCACCTCTTCCAGTATCTGCCCCACGCCGACAAGTACCACGCCGCTCAGACCTGCAAGACCTGGCTCCAGCCCATGTCCGAGCCGTCGTTATTCCAGACTGGACACTTCCGGTTCGACTCTGTGGGCGTTAACAGGGCGATAACCTATGTCAAGGTCAGGGGGAAGCTATTACGTCACATCAAAGTCGATTGTTCAGGTAGGTAAAGTTTGTTTTCAGATAGGCCTGCTTTGACTTTGTCTTCATTTGTACAAGCGCAGCACCATAGCCTAAGGTCTCAAACAACTTATTAAAGTTTCACCATAGCCTAAGATTTCAAACAACTTATTACAGTTTCACCATAGCCTAAGATTTCAAACAACTTATTACAGTTCCACCATAGCCTAAGGTCTCAAACAATTTATTCCAGTCTCCATAAACTATCAGCCCCAGACCAGGGCGATGTACCAGTTCCTGGTCAACCTGCTCAACTCTGGCAACGATCAACTGCTCACGCTGAGTCTGACCAACACCTGGCACCTGAATGAGGGCATCGAGTACCCAAGGTCAATGCTGGTCCAGCTCATGGCCGCCGTCCTGACGTCACAGCAACAGCTGCGTGCTCTGGATCTCTGTAGTGCTAATGTATCTGTTGACCAAGGTCAGTAGTGCTAATGTATCTGTTGACCAAGGTCAGTAGCGATAATGTATGACTAGAACAAATGTCAGTACCGTTGAACTACGTATCGACCCAGGATTTTTCCTAATGAAAATTGTAACGGCTAAGGCCTACCCTATTACCAGCCCCAACATAACTAATCAAATTACGACCATTTTAACATTTGACCCCAGGTCGGGATCTGCTAGAGGCTGCTAGCAGAAACAGTGCCTACACAGTTCACAAGTTGGCTATTGTGGACCTGATCAGGAACTTCCGAGGGGATGTAGATCTAAGACGCAGTCCAAAGTTAATTGCAGCTATGTGCAACTTCCCCAACCTGCGAGGTAATTACAAAAAAAATATCTGCTTTTCCAGATTAAAAGTGTTGTGTGATGAATGTTTTAAGAATTATTAAACTAAAATTATAGTTTATAAAGTTAGATTAAAATATAAATCAATTTTACTCTTAAATTAATTCAATCAAACTAAAATTAGTTCCAAACTACTTAAAAATGGCGTCTCATTTCAATGCTAAAGCTATAATGGCTGACGCGGAAACACCATAATTGCCTACATCTTTTAGAGGTAATGCTACTCAATAATCATTTGTCTGATGACTCGTGTCTTACAGAGCTAGATCTAAACAATGACTATCTGATGATTTGTGTCTTACAGAGCTAGACCTGAACAATGACTATCTATCTGATGACTTGTGTCTCACAGAGCTAGACCTGAACAATGACTATCTGATGACTTGTGTCTTACAGAGCTAGATCTGAACAATGACTATCTGATGATTTGTGTCTTACAGAGCTTGACCTGAACAATGACTATCTGATGACTTGTGTCTTACAGAGCTAGACCTGAACAATGACTGTCTCATGCCTTGTGTCTTACAGAGCTAGACCTGAACAATGACTACCTGACAGACGAGCTGCTAGACCGTCTGGCAGAGACTACCAAAAGTCTGCAAGTGATGACCGTCAATGCCAACGATTACCTGAAGGCGTGGAGTCGAACCACACCCCCAGCCTGGCAAAAGCTGAGATCATTCTGTTGTCAGCTCAAAGTTGTGTTTCTCATCAAACCTAAAACTGTGAGAGCTGCTTGTAGAAACTAGAACTTTACACCCATCACGTCACTTACTCGATATATCAGACACACGCTATACAATACTTCCGGCACTTACACACTATACAATACACAAGTTACTTACCCACTGCATCCACTCCAAGAATCACCAGACACTGTCATTGAACCACAGTACACACATCTATTTTAAACAGGGCTATTACTTCGACCCCGCCCTCATGGGATTACTGACGCCATCAACACCACTGCACACACTAGACTGGACTTCTGGAGAATTGATCTCACTAGACCACATCAAACAATGCTTCCAACACATTGCTACACACTTTCAGGTGAGTTGATCTAGCACATCACACTTTCAGGTGAGTTGATCTAGCACATCACACTTTCAGGTGAGTTGATCTAGCACATCACTACACACTTTCAGGTGAGTTGATCTAGCACATCACTACACACTTTCAGGTGAGTTGATCTAGCACATCACCACACACTTTCAGGTGAGTTGATCTAGCACATCACTACACACTTTCAGGTGAGTTGATCTAGCACATCACTACACACTTTCAGGTGAGTTGATCTAGCACATCAACACACACTTTCAGGTGAGTTGATCTAGCACATCACTACACACTTTCAGGTGAGTTGATCTAGCACATCAACACACACTTTCAGGTGAGTTGATCTAGCACATCAACACACACTTTCAGGTGAGTTGATCTAGCACATCAACACACACTTTCAGGTGAGTTGATCTAGCACATCACTACACACTTTCAGATGAGTTGATCTAGCACATCACCACACACTTTCAGGTGTGTTAACGTACAAAAGATGAACCAATGTTTACACACCGCCACAGACATTAATGCGACTAATTGTGTAAATATAACAAGCTGCCCCTGTCACTGACTTGCTTCTGTTTTGTGTTTGAGATAAGCAACATTTATTGAGAAAAGGTAGCATAACAACTGTCAGTCTGTTTCTTGTTGCTGTCTCTGAATAAACGTGCCCCTACTGTAAATAATAGAGCTACACAAAAACAATACACAATAAACAACTGCTACCTTACATTAGGTATAATCCACATAATCTGTGAAGCATAGAAAGCATTGCGAATAAAATACTACCCTTGACTGAAGGCTAGCACTTAGTGTGACATAGCATATACTACAGATGTAGATCTAATTGGTGTTTGTCATTTTCTAGAACTCAATCCGTCACTTGAAATTCCAATCAGCTGTTCGTCTTGACAGCAGTGACATAGGAATGCTGTTTGAAAGGTGAGGTACATGTCAAAGCTGTTTGAAAGGTGGGGTACATGTCGTCTTGGGGCTAGTTTATGGGTAAGGTACATGTTGTCTTTGAGCTAGTTCATGGGTGAGGTACATGTTGTCTTTGGGCTAGTTCATGGGTGAGGTACATGTTGTCTTTGGGCTAGTTCATGTGTGAGGTACATGTTGTCTTTGGGCTAGTTCATGGGTGAGGTACATGTTGTCTTTGAGCTAGTTCATGGGTGAGGTACATGTTGTCTTTGGGCTAGTTCATGTGTGAGGTACATGTTGTCTTTGAGCTAGTTCATGGGTGAGGTACATGTTGTCTTTGGGCTAGTTCATGGGTGAGGTACATGTTGTCTTTGGGCTAGTTCATGGGTGAGGTACATGTTGTCTTTGAGCTAGTTCATGGGTGAGGTACATGTTGTCTTTGGGCTAGTTCATGGGTGAGGTACATGTTGTCTTTGGGCTAGTTCATGTGTGAGGTACATGTTGTCTTTGGGCTAGTTCATGGGTGAGGTACATGTTGTCTTTGGGCTAGTTCATGTGTGATGTAGATGTTGTCTTCTGGTTAGTTCATGGGTGAGATAGAGGTTCTATAGTAGTAGATACTGTCAAGTACAGGTCATTGTATCATTGGTGAGGTAGATGTCTTTGGGCTAGTTTAAGTGGGAGATAGAGGTTCTGGTAGTGGATACTTTATCAAGTAGAGGTCATTGTATCATTGGTAAGGCACATGTTGTCTTTGGGCTATTTCATGTGTGAGATGGAGGTTTACACAACTTGACGTTATTGATACATGTTTTTAATAATACACTACCAATTTTTCTATGAGTACTTCATCATTATGTTGTATTATTTATTATGAACATGTATTCTATAAGTCGGTATATGTGTATGATGTTAGTTTGTATGTGTGTTCAAGTGTGTGTCCACACGTGACCAAGGGCCACAGAGGTCAACACACGTCTAGAGCTGTGGTTGATTTTGATAAAATTTGCTATGTCAGCTTGTGTCGATTAGTATCGTATTTAGTGTCTTCAATGTAAGGTGTCGATGTTGCATTTAGTGTCTTCAGTGTACGATGTCGATGTCGCATTTAGTGTCTTCAGTGTACGGTGTCGATGTCGCATTTAGTGTCTTCAATGTACGGTGTCGATGTTGCATTTAGTGTCTTCAATGTACGGTGTCGATGTCGCATTTAGTGTCTTCAGTGTACGGTGTCGATGTCGCATTTAGTGTCTTCAATGTACGGTGTCGATGTCGCATTTAGTGTCTTCAATGTACGGTGTCGATGTCGCATTTAGTGTCTTCAATTTACGGTGTCGATGTCGCATTTAGTGTCTTCCGTGTACGGTGTCGATGTCGCATTTAGTGTCTTCAATGTACGGTGTCGATGTCGTATTTAGTGTCTTCAATGTAAGGTGTCGATGTCGCATTTAGTGTCTTCAGTGTACGGTGTCGATGTCGCATTTAGTGTCTTCAGTGTACGGTGTCGATGTCGCATTTAGTGTCTTCAATGTACGGTGTCGATGTCGCATTTAGTGTCTTCAATGTACGGTGTCGATGTCGCATTTAGTGTCTTCAATGTACGGTGTCGATGTCGCATTTAGTGTCTTCAATGTACGGTGTCGATGTCGCATTTAGTGTCTTCAATGTACGGTGTCGATGTCGCATTTAGTGTGTTCAATGACGGTGTCGATGTCGCATTTAGTGTCTTCAGTGTACGGTGTCGATGTCGCATTTAGTGTCTTCAATGTACGGTGTCGATGTCGCATTTAGTGTCTTCAATGACGGTGTCGATGTCGCATTTAGTGTGTTCAATGACGGTGTCGATGTCGCATTTAGTGTCTTCAGTGTACGGTGTCGATGTCGCATTTAGTGTCTTCAATGTACGGTGTCGATGTCGCATTTAGTGTCTTCAATGACGGTTTCGATGTCGCATTTAGTGTCTTCAGTGTACGGTGTCGATGTCGCATTTAGTGTCTTCAGTGTACGGTGTCGATGTCGCATTTAGTGTCTTCAGTGTACGGTGTCGATGTCGCATTTAGTGTCTTCAGTGTACGGTGTCGATGTCGCATTTAGTGTCTCCAATGTACGGTGTCGATGTCGCATTTAGTGTCTTCAGTGTACTTTGTCGCATTTAGTGTCTTCAGTGTACGGTGTCGATGTCGCATTTAGTGTCTTCAGTGTACGGTGTAGATGTAGCATTTAGTGTCTTCAGTGTACGGTGTCGCATTTAGTGTCTTCAGTGTACGGTGTCGCATTTAGTGTCTTCAGTGTACGGTGTCGATGTCGCATTTAGTGTCTTCAGTGTACGGTGTAGATGTAGCATTTAGTGTCTTCAGTGTACTTTGTCGCATTTAGTGTCTTCAGTGTACGGTGTCGATGTCGCATTTAGTGTCTTCAGTGTACGGTGTAGATGTAGCATTTAGTGTCTTCAGTGTACGGTGTCGCATTTAGTGTCTTCAGTGTACGGTGTCGATGTCGCATTTAGTATATTTTATGTGGGGTATGGCTGTAGGAATTAATGTCTCCTATATTTTCCCACAGTATACACACGTGCAGATATTTAAAGACTCTGTCTATCAGTTTAAAATGTGATCTGAGCGGTGATGACAAGTTCTACAAGACTGCCATCCAAGATGCTGTTGATGTGCACCGTATGACATGTGCTGTTACATTTAACGGTCAGACCATGAAGAGTTAGGACAACTGGCCCATCCATTCCCACCGGAGCTCACCATTTTGTCCATCAATGTAAACGTGGTGGATGGTTGGTGGAGCTTAAGTCACATGATGAATCTTTGTACAACGGAACCTGTATGAGCATTTCATGTTGTTTTTTTCTTTTTTGTTTAACATGAATTAAATGTATGAGTAAACCAATGTTAACAAATGTGCCTGATTCACTATGAGTAAACCAATGTTAAAAAAATGTGCCTGATTCACTATGAGTAAACCAAAGTTAACAAATGTGCCTGATTAACTATTAAAATTTTTGTCTGAAAATTAATGTGTAAGTTATTTTTATTCAGTAGCAAGTGCACCATGAGGTCAATTCTAGCTGAAACCTTTGCGAACAACATGCCATTTTACCTTAAAGTATGAAATCTGAAAGGGGTAGACTCTGAAGGAAAATATTTCAATATTTCCTACCTGACAGGAGACAATTGTTTCTCTACAATTTTCTTAATTGACATCAGCATAAGTCGTGTTTCCATCAAACACGTTGGTGGAGGAATCTTGGTAAATATGACAACAGCGGCCATCTTGACAAATTATCTACTGTATAGCATTTTAATAAAAAAAACAACTCCCCTTATATATGAAATCTTTACCATGAAAACCTGTACTTACATATGCCTACAGTATGACATCTGTACGGAGAAACCTGTACTTAATACGCCTACCGTATGACATCTGTACGGAGAATACCTCATATTTCACATACCAGCCACAACTATAATGTGAGAGGTGTGCTTGGTATATGGCTACAATCATATTTCACATAACAGCCACAGCTATAAATGTGAGAGGTGTGTGTGGTATATGGCTACAGTCATATTTCACATAACAGCCACAGCTATAAATGTGAGAGGTGTGCGTGGTATAAGGCTACAGTCATATTTCACATAACAGCCACAGCTATAAATGTGAGAGGTGTGCGTGGTATATGGCTACAGTCATATTTCACATAACACCCACAGCTATAAATGTGAGAGGTGTGTGTGTGGTATATGGCTACAGTCATATTTCACAGAACACCCACAGCCAAAAAAAGTGAGAGGTGTGTGTGGTATATGGCTACAGTCATATTTCACAGAACAACCACAGCTATAAATGTGTGAGGTGTGCGTGGTATATAGCTACAGTCATATTTCACATAACACCCACAGCTATAAATGTGAGAGGTGTGTGTGTGGTATATGGCTACAGACATTGTTTTGTGTGGGGACGAGGTGACAGCGAAAAGTGGCTGACTTTATTCAATGTTTAAACAAGAAATGGGGAATACAACTTGTATTACAAGATGAAAGAAGCCTTAAGTCTGGAGGAATATCACAGTAGATCATTCCACCATACACACACACACATTTATATATATATATATATATATATATATATATATATATATATATATATATATATATATATATATATATATATATATATATATATATATATATATACTAGCGTACCCGTCCCCGCGCTTTGAAAGCCTGACGAAATATATAAGAAGAGTTTCAACCATGCGATACCAATCCTATATTCTTAGACTCGTGACCTTATTTTCTAAAAGTCAGTTATTTCAATGTAAACAATGCCTGAGCTTGGATCATAAATATCGGGACACGGGTTTCCCTACACTACCGCATGAAAACCTTGAGTGTACATTAATCACTCACCGAAATAATGAGGTAGAACACACTTCGGTGGCCACCCATGTATCAGGGACGTAGAGGGGCGCTCTCAGGAGCCCCCTTCCCCCCGATTACACTACCGCATAAGCGCAGCGTACGGCCCCTGGCTCCTTAAAATTAACAGGCGCCATCGTGCTCATAGGATAACCCAGAGTGCCAAATAGCATCCTGTTAACAATGATGCATATTTCGTCATTCGCTAAAGTGACACAAATGAACAGGATTTTTTCTTTAACTCGTAAATTAAATTATTTGACGTGTTTTAAACATCAGTGTGACTGATGCAATATGCTAGCGTTACTAGTGGTCTATTAATAGATGCTCGATCTCAATTTCTGACTGGATCGTCTAATAATAGATGCTTATTGCATCATTCGCAAAGTGACGAAACTCTACAGTAGGCTCCTCATATTCAAAAAGTTATTTTTTCTTCTTTCGCAAGGTGACGAAACTGTACAGAAGGATTTCCTCGCGTTACAAAGTTATTTTTAGAAGCCTGTTGTAGTTTTACCGCTGAATATAGTAGTACCCCGTAATCGCTATGCAGGACGCTCGATTAACGGATGCCAAGTTCCAAACATAGTCGCTCTAAAACTCTGGACCCCAAACCGTGTATTGACTAAAATTGTACCTAACATGGCGCCGCCAATAAGAAACTTTAGTTTTCTTTTTCGCAGAAATATTCTCGGGAGTATTCTCATCTACTCCCTAAAGTTTCATGACACTCGGATGAACCGCATACGAGTTGTTTTTTTTTATATATACCGTGTATAGAGAAAAAAAAATAGCTCACCCCGGGGGCGCCGCCCTTGCAATATTAAAAAACATATTTTTTTTTTGCAGAACCCTACCATTGAGTAATCTAATCATCTCCCTAAAGTTTCATGGTACACGGGTGAACGGTGTGAAACCGAAATAGACTTTTATTTTTATAAACTGTATATAGAGAAAAATCGCACCCTCCCGTGGCGCCGCTCTTGCGAAATTAAAAAAGGATTTTTCTTACAGAACCCTTCCCTGAATTTTTCTATTCAACTCCCCAAAGTTTGATGGCGATTAGATAAATGGTGTCAAACCAAAATCGACTTTTATTTTTATATACCCTATATTGCAAAAAATCCCATCATTCCGTGGCGCCGCCCTTGCGAAATTAACAATAATTTTTTTTTTACAGAAACCTTCCATGAAGTGTTCTTATCAACTCCCCAAAGTTTGATGGCGATCGGATGAACGCCGTGAAACCGCAATCGACGTTTATTTTTATATAGTGTATATAGATAAAATCGCACCTTCCTGTGTCGCCGCCCTTGTAAAATTAAAAATGATTTTTACAGAACCCTTCCATGGAGTTTTCTAATCAAGTCCCTGAAGTTTGATGGCTATCGGATGAACGTTGTGAGACCGCAATCGACTTTTATTTTTATATACCGTATATAGAGAGAAAAAAATCGCGCCCTGCCAGGGCGCCACCCCTGCGAATTTGAAATTGTTTTTAGCGCAGAAACTTCCCCAGGAATATTCTCAACATCATCCCAAATTTTCATGGCGATCGTATGAACGGTGTCACCGAAATTCACTTTTATTACTTTTATATATCGTATATTGAGAAAAAATATTCACAACAACTTCCCAACGGCGATGTGATGAGAGGTGTAGTAATGCATAAAAGACCGACACACACACACGCACACGCACACACACACACACACAAACATACATTGCAGTTTTATATATATATATAGATAGAAGATATATATATATATATATATATATATATATATATATATATATATATATATATATATATATATATATATTTATTTATTTATTTATTTATTTATGTATTTATTTATATATATCCGAATGACATATACATTTAATATATATAATTGACAAACAGATGTACATATACCTATATTAGACTTATACATAAGACGAACAGACTCATGTATCACAAATAGAATCGCATAAACCTCCATGATACTCATTTATCAAAAAATGAGTCCGACTGAGTCAGAAATCTCATCACGAAACAAATACCCAACTACAAAAAACTTTGTGTTGAAGAACGTCATCAATAATTGAGCATTGAATCTCGTTAGTTTCCCAGCGAGACGGAAGTTGATAGTTTAATCAACACATTTTTCTAGGATTTGTTGACTTCTGCTTGTTTATATATGAAAATATTTTTTTAAATAACATATTTGACTCTAGATCTAGTACCCATTGTTTATAAATGGCTACTTTAACAAAAAGAAGTAAGCGTCTCAAGGGCGAGCCAGTTGACGAAGCTCTAAAACTGAGAGAATCTGCTCAAAAATCTGGAGACCAGCCTCTGGTAGGTCAACAAACACAGCTTCACACATTGAACTGATTATATTTGTGTATAACCGCCTAGTTTATGGTGGTCTCTCTCTCTCTCTCTCTCTCGTTCTCTCTCACACACATAAACTCTTTCTCTCCAATATCCTAATTACAGGCTAAAGCTATTTCTGCTAGCCAGGCAGCCTAAAACAAAGTTAATACGACCCATATTACGACCTATGTTACGACCGATGTTACGAACCATGTAAATACCTATCTTATGACCTATGTTTGACTCATGTTACGACCTATAATAGACCAATATTCCGACCCCACGTATGTTTGCTAGTCCACTGACCACCCCCACTACTCAGTCCCCAAACGTCAACTGGCCACTGACCCCCCCCCACCACTCAGTCCCCAGACGTCAACTGGCCACTGACCCCCCCCCACCATTCAGTCCCCAGACGTCAACTGACCACTGACCCCCCCCCCCACCACCATTCAGTCCCCAGACGTCAACTGGCCACTGACCCCCCCCCCCCCCACCACTCAGTCCCCAAAGGTCAACTGGCCACTGACCCCCCCCCCCCCACTCAGTCCCCAGACGTCAACTGGCCACTGACCCCCCCCCCCCCATTCAGTCCCCAGACATCAACTGGCCACTGACCCCCCCCCCCCACTCAGTCCCCAGACGTCAACTGGCCACTCACCCCCCCCCCCCCAACCATTCAGTCCCCAGACGTCAACTGACCACTGACCCCCCCCACCACTCAGTCCCCAGACGTCAACTGACCACTGACCCCCCCCCCCCCACCACTCAGTCCCCAGACGCCGAATGGAACCAGCTGCCCTACGAGATCCTTCTGCAAGTCTTCCACTACCTGGACGACAACAGCGACAAGTACCACGCCGCCCTCACCTGCAAGTCCTGGCTCCGCCCACTCTCAGCTCCGTCAATATGGCGGACTGGAGACTTTCGGTTCACCTTGACGAGTGTACGTAAAGCCCTCGAATTTGTCATGAACACGGGAAAAACGTTACGTCACATAAGAGCTGACTGTCCAGGTACGTCTGGTTCATTCACCAAAGTAAAACGACATTGCTTGGTCTGAACACATCGCTTTTGTTTATGTCTCAGCCTTCAGTATAAACGACCCTCCTGATGTGTTGTATGTGTGTATTCCAGAGAGCAAAGACAGCGTCCTCAGTTCCAGCACACACGAGCTTTACCTGTTCCTGGCCCACCTCCTCAACGCCGGCAACAAGCAGCTGCTCACCCTCAGACTGACCAACATCAGCCGGTTGAAGGCGTCTCCCGTCCACCAGATGTCTGACGTGGTCAAACTTCTTGCTCTGCTTCTACAACAACAGCAACAGTTACGATCGCTTCACCTTAGCAACGCCCTCTTAACGTTAGCCCAAGGTATCTATCGCTTGTCTCAAATTGAACGAGGTCAGTGGTTTATCCAAATAATCTTCAATAATAAACCGGAGTGATCTCCCCTAAGCTTTCTCGAATATTCTTATACAATACTGCGGAGGATGACAACTCTGGATATAGACATGATTTTTAATCAATTTTTAATTACTTAAACTTTTTAAAATATAATAGAATCTTGTAAAAAAATAAACCGGGGGTTCTAGGTGCTTTGACCACAGGTGCTTTGACCATAGGGGGTTTGACCATAGGTGGTTTGATCATAGGGGGTTTGACCATAGGGGGCTTTGACTACAACGGGGCTTTGACTACAACGGGGCTTTTGAAATTATAAACTGCTATTTTAATTTAAATTTTTGACACAATACCATTTTATACATGTTTTCTGAAAGTCCATTAATAGAAATTAACATGTACTAAAAAAGTCAAAAACAATATTTTAGTCTCCACATAAAAGCTGTTTCTAGGCCACATAGATTTTTTAAAAATACAAATGGAACACACAAAATGCGACATACAACAAGTTTCACAAAAAATAATGCAGATGTACTTGAAAATACATAGCATATATAAAGGATAAAAACATGCCAACAGTATAGTCAAAGAGGTAATACTTGTATGGTTAACTAAATGACAGATGAATTAACATACTATTACATCCTGCTGCAATTTAAAATATAATTACACAACTTTTAAAATTAATCCTTACCAAAAATTCATAAAATGGACAAAGCGCTTGTTATCAAACGCCAGCTTTGGACAAACCATCTGTGATCAAAGACCTTATATGGATAACACACCTGTGATCAAAGCCGCACACTGCGCTTGTGATCAAACACCCGTTGATAAACCACCTGTGATCAAAAACCCTCTGCTGAAAAAACACCTGTGGTCAAACCCCCTATGGTCAAACCCCTAAGGTCAAAGCCCCTCTGTGGTCAAACCACCTATGGTCAAACCCACTATGGTCAAAGCACCTGTGGTCAAAGGTCCGAGCATCAAACCGGGAGTGATCTCCCCTAAACTTTCTCGAATATTCTTACATTACACTACGGGGGATGGCAACTCGGGATATAGACATGATTTTTAATCTATTTTTAATTACTTAAACTTTTTAAACTATAATAGAATCTCGTAGAAAAAAGAATTGCGCAAACTATCTGTGTATAATAGTGCGAAATATTATTACTACTTTATAAATTCATAAGCGTTTTTTGAGAAATCAAAAATAGCGTAAATTAATACTCCCGGTCAACGGAAATTACTTAAAATTTGACAGAAGGCAGAGTATTAGATCTTTTACTTATATTTGAAATTTCGTTGATCTATTCGAAATAATACTCAAGTTATAGCTTTTGAAAAAGTTTTATCTAGTCAACAAACCATCTTAACATTTGCACCATCCACAGGTCATTTAATGCTTGTTGTCCCACTCATCCAGTCAACAAACCATCTTAACATTTGCACCATCCACAGGTCAACTAATGCTTGTTTTAAGCTAGTCAACAAACCATCTTAACGTTTGAAACATCCACAGGTCAACTAATGCTTGTTTTAAGCTAGTCAACAACCCATCTTAACATTTGAACCATCCACAGGTCAACTAATGCTTGTTGTCCCAATCATCCAGTCAACAAACCATCTTAACGTTTGAACCATCCACAGGTCAAGAGTTGCTGTCCGCAGCAAGCCAAAGCTCGTGCAACACCCTCCAGACTCTGGCAGTAGATGAATTTGTTTCACCCTCGTTCATCCTGAATGCAAGTACATATTTAGCAAACAGCATCGCCATCCTGTGTGGCTTTCGTCAATTATCAGGTGTGGTCAAATTGTGTTTCTGACTAGGGTTGGTTCTGACTGCTGCACTAGGGTTGGGCTGACTGCTGGACTAGGATTGGGCTGACTGCTGCACTAGGGTTGGACTGACTAATGGACTAGGGTTGGGCTGACTGCTGGACAAGGGTTGGGCTGACTGCTGCACTAGGGTTGGGCTGACTGCTGCACTAGGGTTGGGCTAACTGCTGGACTAGAGTTGGGCGGATTGCTGCACTAGGGTTGGGTTGACTGCTGGACTAGGGTTCGGCTGATTGCTGCACTAGGGTAGGGCTGACTGCTGCACTAGGGTTGGGCTGACTGCTGGACCAGGGTTGGGCTGACTGTTGCACTAGGGTTGGGCTGACTGCTGGACTAGGGTTGGGCTGACTGCTGCACTAGGTTTGGGCTAACTGCTGGACTAGAGTTGGGCTGACTGCTGGACTAGGGTTGGGCTGACTGCTGCACTAGGGTTGGGCTGACTGCTGGACCAGGGTTGGGCTGATTGCTGCACTAGGGTTGGGCTGACTGCTGGACCAGGGTTGGGCTGACTGCTGGACTAGGGTTGGGCTGACTGCTGCACTAGGGTTGGGCTGACTGCTGCACTAGGGTTGGGCTGACTGCTGGACTAGGGTTGGGCTGACTGCTGGACTAGGGTTGGTTCTGACTACTGCACTAGGGTTGGTACTGACTGCTGCACTAGGGTTGGACTGACTGCTGCACTAGGGTTGGGCTGATTGCTGCACTAGGGTTGGGCTGATTGCTGCACTAGGGTTGGGCTGACTGCTGGACTAGGGTTGGTTCTGACTACTGCACTAGGGTTGGGCTGACTGCTGGACTAGGGTTGGTTCTGACTACTGCACTAGGGTTGGTTCTGACTGCTGCACTAGGGTTGGACTGACTGCTGCACTAGGGTTGGGCTGATTGCTGCACTAGGGTTGGGCTGATTGCTGCACTAGGGTTGGGCTGACTGCTGGACTAGGGTTGGTTCTGACTACTGCACTAGGGTTGGTTCTGACTGCTGCACTAGGGTTGGTTCTGACTGCTGCACTAGGGTTGGACTGACTGCTGCACTAGGGTTGGGCTGATTGCTGCACTAGGGTTGGGCTAACTGGTGGACTATGGTTGGGTTGACGTTCGGACTAGGGTTGGGTTGACTGCTGGACTAGGGTTGGACTAACTGCTGCACTAGGGTTGGGTCGACTGCTGCACTAGGGTTGGGCTGACTGCTGCACTAGGGTTGGGCTGACTGCTGGACTAGGGTTGGGCTGACTGCTTGATTAGGGTTGGGCTGACTGCTGCACTAGGGTTGGGCTGACTGCTGGACTAGGGTTGGACTGACTGCTTGATTAGGGTTGGTTCTGACTACTGCACTAGGGTTGGGCTGACTGCTGGACTAGGGTTGGTTCTGACTACTGCACTAGGGTTGGTTCTGACTGCTGCACTAGGGTTGGACTGACTGCTGCACTAGGGTTGGGCTGATTGCTGCACTAGGGTTGGGCTGATTGCTGCACTAGGGTTGGGCTGACTGCTGGACTAGGGTTGGTTCTGACTACTGCACTAGGGTTGGTTCTGACTGCTGCACTAGGGTTGGTTCTGACTGCTGCACTAGGGTTGGACTGACTGCTGCACTAGGGTTGGGCTGATTGCTGCACTAGGGTTGGGCTAACTGGTGGACTATGGTTGGGTTGACGTTCGGACTAGGGTTGGGTTGACTGCTGGACTAGGGTTGGACTAACTGCTGCACTAGGGTTGGGTCGACTGCTGCACTAGGGTTGGGCTGACTGCTGCACTAGGGTTGGGCTGACTGCTGGACTAGGGTTGGGCTGACTGCTTGATTAGGGTTGGGCTGACTGCTGCACTAGGGTTGGGCTGACTGCTGGACTAGGGTTGGACTGACTGCTTGATTAGGGTTGGGCTGACTGCTGCACTAGGGTTGGGCTGATTGCTGCACTAGGGTTGGGCTAACTGCTGGACTAGGGTTGGACTAACTGCTGGACTAGGGTTGGCCTGACTGCTGGACTATGGTTGGGTTGACGTTCTGACTAGGGTTGGGTTGATTGCTGGACTAGGGTTGGACTAACTGCTGCACTAGGGTTGGGTCGACTGCTGCACTAGGGTTGGGCTGACTGCTGCACTAGGGTTGGGCTGACTGCTTGATTAGGGTTGGGCTGACTGCTGCACTAGGATTGGGCTGACTGCTGGACTAGGGTTGGACCGACATTGTGTCCCTCCTTCATGCCCCGTTTGATGCACACCTGTCATAAGTCATCTAGCTTGTTCACCTAGCTTTAACGACTGGCACCTGACATATACCTTAGCGTATAGAAAAGTCAAACCTGGTTTTCTTTATAGCTGCTCTAAAGGTTTATTCAGATTTGTAATTTTTCCCCACACTTCATCAAATGAAACAGCTACATGTTGTTTGTTACCGCGAGTACCCTAACATTCCGTCTTATGTCATCTAGAACTGGAAGTCAGCTACAGCTACCTAGTTGATGATGTCCTGCTTGGTCTGGCCCAGTCAGCCAACACTAATCTGCAGCTGATGACGGTTTGCGCTGACGATGACGTGGAGCAGGAAAGACAAACCACACCGGAAGCCTGGCAGAGCCTCGGGTCTGCTTGTCCAGATCTCAAAGTGAAAGTGGTCATCCAATCCAAAATGGTGAGCAGGCTTGAATCACATGAATATTAAAACATGCATTTCTTAAAATACACAGCGGACTGCCAGTTAACTGCCCTTAATTCAGATGAATGGTATACACAGACACACATACATAGCGATTTCAAATCTTTCAGGGATCCTATTTCGACCGCTCGTTGCTGTTTATTCTAACGCAATCGATGCCACTGTATGCTCTTCACTGGAACACGGGGCCCGCTATCGCTATAGCAAATATCAAACTAGGCTTGAACCATGTCGCCACACACTTTCAGGTGAGTTGATCTAGCACATCACCACACACTTTCAGGTGAGTTGATCTAGCACATCACCACACACTTTCAGGTGCGTTGATCTACCACATCACCACACACTTTCATGTGAGTAGATCTACCACAACAACACACACTTTCAGGTCAGTTGATCTAGTACATAACCACACACATCACCACACACTTTTAGGTGAGGTGATCTAGCACATCACCACACACTTTCAGGTGAGTTGATCTAGCACATCACAACACACTTTCAGGTGAGTTGATCTAGACCATCACCACACACATCACCACACACATCACCACACACTTTCAGGCGAGTTGATCTAGCACATCACCACACACTTTCAGGTGAGTTGATCTAGCACATCACCACACACTTTCAGGTGAGTTGATCTAGCACATCACAACACACTTTCAGGTTAGATGATCTAGCACATCACCATACACATCACAACACACTTTCAGGTGAGTTGATATAGCACATCACCACACAAATCACCTCACACTTTCAGGTGAGTTGATCTAGCACATCACCACACACTTTCAGGTGCGTTGATCTACCACATCACCACACACTTTCATGTGAGTAGATCTACCACAACAACACACACTTTCAGGTCAGTTGATCTAGTACATAACCACACACATCACCACACACTTTCAGGTGAGTTGATCTAGCACATCACAACACACTTTCAGGTGAGTTGATCTATCACACCACCACACACATCACCACACACTTTCAGGTGAGTTGATCTAGCACATCACCACACACACCACCACACACATCACCACACACGTTAAGGCGTTGACCTAACACTGTGCTGTATACAGCTTTTCTTTGATGTTTAACGCTTTACAAATGTAAGTTTTTCATTTCTTGTACAACTTCAACCTACACATGTTTCATGGTGTACACGTTAATCACGGTAGAGATTTTCATGAATCATATATAAGAGAAGTGCCCTTAAGGTCGATTTCCGACGGCTTTTTTTGGGAAATTGCATCTATATTAAAATCTATATTAAAATCTATGCTGTACTTTATTGTAAATAGAACTAAGGGGAAAAATGAGTACTAAGTTTAGGCAGTCAGTTCACTTGACTTAAATTATCGGCACCCCAGAAATCTATCTAAGATTTTAACACAGACTTGTGCCAGGTAAGGACATATAGGCTACATGTTCTAAAATTTCTAAAATCATCTCATTTGGTGTTTGTTATCATAGAACAGCCTACACTATCTGAAGATTGAGTCTGGTGTTCGCATAGACGATGACAGCACGATGGAGATGTTTGAAAGGTGAGTCAGTAGTCCTGGTCATGTGGTTTGTCTGGGTGATAGCTGTCCCACTTGAACTTTTGTTGCTAGTTGTCCACCTAAACTTTAACTATTGTTGCTAGATGTCCCACTAAACTTGAACTATTGTTGCTAGTTGTCCCACTAAACTTGAACTAGTGTTGCGAGTTGTCCTACTAAACTTGAACTAGTGTTGCTAGTTGTCCCGCTAAATTTAAAATATTGTTGTTAGTTGTCCCACTAAATTTAAAATATTGTTGTTAGTTGTCCCACTAAATTTGAACTATTGTTGCAATTTGTCCCACTAAACAAACTAGTGTTGTTAGTTGTCCCACTAAACAAACTAGTGTTGTTAGTTGTCCCACTAAACTTAAACTAGTGTTGCTAGTTGTCCCACTAAACAAACTAGTGTTGTTAGTTGTCCCACTAAACTTAAACTAGTGTTGTAGTTGTCCCACTAAACTTAAACTAGTGTTGCTAGTTGCCCACTAAACTTGAACTATTGTTGTTAGTTCTCCCACTAAACTTGAACTATTGTTGCTAGTTGCCCCACTAAACTTAAACTATTGTTGCAATTTGTCCCATAATTAGGAACTAATTTGTAAACATATCCTCTTGTGTCTGTGTGTCGGAGATCATTTGTTTAGTAGAGTTTATTTGTGAGGTCATATTTATATTGTCACTTGCGTGTAAGGTCATATTTATAGCTGTTTGCGTGTAAGGTCATATTTCTAGCTGTTTGCGTGTAAGGTCATATTTATATTGTCACTTGCGTGTAAGGTCATATTTATAGCTACTTGCGTGTAAGGTCATATTTATATTGTCACTTGCGTGTAAGGTCATATTTATAGCTACTTGCGTGTAAGGTCATATTTATAGCTACTTGCGTTTAAGGTCATATTTATAGCTACTTGCGTGTAAGGTCATATTTATAGCTACTTGCGTTTAAGGTCATATTTATAGCTACTTGCGTGTAAGGTCATATTTATAGCTACTTGCGTGTAAGGTCATATTTATAGCTACTTGCGTGTAAGGTCATATTTATAGCTACTTGCGTGTAAGGTCATATTTATAGCTTCTTGCGTATAAGGTCATATTTATAGCTACTTGCGTGTAAGGTCATATTTATAGCTACTTGCGTGTAAGGTCATATTTATAGCTACTTGCGTTTAAGGTCATATTTATAGCTACTTGCGTGTAAGGTCATATTTATAGCTACTTGCGTGTAAGGTCATATTTATAGCTACTTGCGTGTAAGGTCATATTTATAGCTACTTGCGTTTAAGGTCATATTTATATTGTCACTTGCGTGTAAGGTCATATTTATAGCTTCTTGCGTTTAAGGTCATATTTATAGCTACTTGCGTGTAAGGTCATATTTATAGCTACTTGCGTGTAAGGTCATATTTATAGCTACTTGCGTGTAAGGTCATATTTATAGCTACTTGCGTTTAAGGTCATATTTATAGCTACTTGCGTGTAAGGTCATATTTATAGCTACTTGCGTGTAAGGTCATATTTATAGCTACTTGCGTGTAAGGTCATATTTATAGCTACTTGCTTGTAAGGTCAGATTTATAGCTACTTGTGTATGAGGTAAAACCAACGTGATCATTTAATCACCTGGCTTGAAGAGGTGTTATAGGTGAAGACACGCTTCCAGACGTGGTCTAACATATCACGTGTCACCCTAGTTGGGTCATCAGGGTGGCTTCACGTGCGTGCGGTAAATCTTTGCGATAAACAAACCTTAGAATATGAGTAATAATTATCTTCCTCGTAGTAACATATCTCCCCTAGTAATAACCTCTCTGCTAATAATAAGTTACCCCCCTAGTAATAATTCATCTCCCCTAGTAATCACTTATCTCCCCTGCCTCTGATACTGTCACCATGGGATAATGATTTAAAGATGTATGCACCTGCCGTGAGTTTTAAACTCACAAGACAAAGCTGGTCTACGTGTTCGTACATTTCCTATTGTGGTGTTGGTTCCAGCTTTAGTGGTCCCAGTGTCGTCTTAGCTCAGCTCGCGCCGAGTAGCTCTCATGTCATACATAGGATGTAAACAGTCAGTTCTGTACGTTTGTGATAAGTCTAGATGGACGTTTGTGATAAGTCTAGATGGACGTTTGTGATGAAGTCTAGAGGGACGTTTGTGATAAGTCTAGATGGACGTTTGTGATTAGTCTAGATGGACGTTTGTGATTAGTCTAGATGGACGTTTGTGATGAAGTCTAGAGGAACGTTTGTGATAAGTCTAGATGGACGTTTGTGATTAGTCTAGATGGACGTTTATGATTAGTCTAGATGGACGTTTGTGATAAGTCTAGATGGACGTTTGTGATTAGTCTAGATGGACGTTTGTGATAAGTCTAGATGGACGTTTGTGATTAGTCTAGATGGACGTTTGTGATTAGTCTAGATGGACGTTTGTGATTAGTCTAGATGGACGTTTGTGATAAGTCTAGATGGACGTTTGTGATAAGTCTAGATGGACGTTTGTGATTAGTCTAGATGGACGTTTGTGATAAGTCAAGAGGGACGTTTGTGATAAGTCTAGATGGACGTTTGTGATTAGTCTAGATGGACGTTTGTGATAAGTCTAGATGGACGTTTGTGATAAGTCTAGATGGACGTTTGTGATAAGTCTAGATGGACGTTTGTGATAAGTCTAGATGGACGTTTGTGATAAGTCTAGATGGACGTTTGTGATAAGTCTAGATGGACGTTTGTGATAAGTCTAGATGGACGTTTGTGATAAGTCTAGATGGACGTTTGTGATAAGTCTAGATGGACGTTTGTGATAAGTCTAGATGGACGTTTGTGATAGGTCTAGATGGACGTTTGTGATAAGTCTAGATGGACGTTTGTGATAAGTCTAGATGGACGTTTGTGATAAGTCTAGATGGACGTTTGTGATAAGTCTAGATGGACGTTTGTGATAAGTCTAGATGGACGTTTGTGATAAGTCTAGATGGACGTCTGTGAAAAGTCTAGATGGACGTTTGTGATAAGTCTAGATGGACGTTTGTGATAAGTCTAGATGGACGTTTGTGATAAGTCTAGATGGACGTTTGTGATAAGTCTAGATGGACGTCTGTGAAAAGTCTAGATGGACGTTTGTGATAAGTCTAGATGGACGTTTGTGATGGGGTCTAGATGGACATAATGTATGCGATATTTTCCCACAGCTTACACCAGTGTAAACAGCTGGAGACTTTGACCTTAAGTTTAGTTTGCAACAGGAGAACGGACGAAGAGATGTACAAGCGATCTATCAGGGCGGCTCTAGCTAGAAGTCCAATGTCGTGTTCTGTTCAATTTAACGGTCAGGACATTTAGGCGGCCTGGTCAGTAACTGTACAAGTGGAGGATATGAAGTTGTTCAATCGATTTTTTTTAGCTAGCAATTAAACTAAAATTATAAAAAAGTGTTTGTCATTACTTATTCATCAACAATGTTATTTTAATGTTTTTATAACCAGCAGTTGACAAAAATGTTTCATGCAATACATATGTTATATCGATAAAATGAATGCCCCGTTGAAACGGAAAGGATGGGATGAGGTGCAACTTATATTCTTGGTTGCTAGTATACACATTCATAAAAAAGCAAAAAAAAAGTTTCAGACTGAAAATAATTTAGAAATTTAATTTTTTTTTGAATCAACTTTATAAAAGTTGCAAATCCAGAGAACTTGAAAAAATACTTTTTAAGTTTAAGGCTATATTTCTATTTATCTTCATCAAGCATAAGTCATAACTTGAAGCTTCACTTACATTAGACAAACATTGATTGACTGTACAGTAACCAGTGTTTCTTCCAGACTTTTTTCTCCGGGGGGGGGGCACTTGAAATCTTCCGGGGGGCGGTAAACTTTCTTCGGGGGGGGGGGGGCGGACACTGTTAAAAGTATATATTTTCTATATAAATTATATAAATTTCATTTCGTTCGGGGGGCGGTAAAAAAATTTCGGGGGGGGGGGGGGGGCGAAGCCCCCCCGAGGAGATGCCTGGAAGAAACTCTGACAGTAACTCTGGGATCTATATTCTGAAACCCCACTTCATAAAAAGCCCATAGTAATTTGTATTCAAAACGTTTTCTTTATAGTTATTTAAATAGTAGTCTATAATTTATTTTCTACTTTTTAGTGATTTTTAACATAAAAGCTTGTTATTAAAACGTTTTTTTATGAATTTTTTTAATAACACTGCATCAGATTTTTAAAATATTCTATACAGAATTTCGAGACTATTCACTGCCGCCTTAGTTCAACTATAATCTAAAGTCACTGGTTATATTTCGGTCACACCTTAGTGATCAGGTGACACATGCTTATTTAAACGACAGAGAAAATGAAACCGTAGCGTGCATTCAAACAAAACAGTATTAGTGGTGATTACCCAGTTACATTGCCGTGTTGAGCGTTACGATCTTGAAGACCCAATCAGCTATTCAAAAAAAATTTCACGTGTTTTGAACATTAATGTGGTATAACTTCTGCATTTTCTTTGTATCATACATTTTTATGTCTTATACATTTCTGGTAAAATGAATAATTTTCTTTTAATGTTCATGTTTTCAAATGAGATGCTTCTTTTAAATTTAGTTCATTAAATTTTGCAATTCCTTTTTAAGTCTAATTAATTTATCCTAAATACTATAAATAATTTGTCCTGATCTATTTTGTCTAAGATCTTTGTCTGTGAGATAATTTTTCCTGAGATCGTTTGTCATGATGTATTTTGTCCGTGAGATCATTTGTCCTGAGATCATTTGTCCTGAGATCATTTGTCCTGAGATCATTTGTCCTGAGATCATTTGTCCTGATATATTTTGTCCTGAGATCATTTGTCCTGAGATCATTTTTCCTGAGATCATTTGTCCTGATATATTTTGTCCTGAGATCATTTGTCCTGAGATCATTTTTCCTGAGATCATTTGTCCTGATATATTTTGTCCTGAGATCATTTGTCCTGAGATCATTTGTCCTGAGATCATTTGTCCTGAGATCATTTGTCCTGAGATCATTTGTCCTGAGATCATTTGTCCTGAGATCATTTGTCCTGAGATCATTTGTCCTGAGATCATTCGTCCTCAGATCATTTGTCCTGAGATCATTTGTCCTGAGATCATTTGTCCTCAGATCATTTATCATGGAACCAGTATATCTTAACTTAGTACTCTTCTCACGACATATGTCTGCAGTGACATCTATCATATGCAGTATGACATATGCAGTATGACATATGCAGTATGACTTAAAGCTAGAACACCTCCCCTTATTTCGCACACGATACTAACCCATAGCTATAAATTAACTGGGCGGCGGGGGGGGGGGGGGAGGGTGGTATCTACTGCCATATATATATATATATATATATATATATATATATATATATATATATATATATATATATATATATGAATATATATATATATAAATATATATATATGAATATATATATATATATATATATATATATATATATATATATATATATATGTATATATATATATATATATATATATAGGCCTATATATATATCACAAACAGAAGCGTATATTCCTTCATGTGACTCGTATATCACAAACAGAAGCGTATATTCCCCAATGTGACTCATATATATCACTATATCACAGTTAATCGCACATATACTACCATGTGACTCACAAGATAGTGAAATCAAACTATACAACATTTCTTTTCGAGAAGATAATTATAACTAGAATACCCGTCATCCGTTGGATAACTGTGGGTTTCGGGGGTCATCCATCAAAAAACATCACGTCTGTCACTCAGAGGCATAGCGACCCTTCCCGGCGCCCGGGGAACAACTTTTCGATTTGAACCCCCCCCCCAAGATTTCGATTTTCAACCCCCCCCCCTCAAACTTTTGATGTGCAACCCCCCCCCCCCCCACTCAAACTTTCCATTTGAACCCCCCTCAACCTTTCAATTTATTTTTCCAAACCATTTTGGCGCCCCAACATATGTCCCCCCCGCCCCCCCCCCTCCACCTCCCCCCGCCTCCCCTTCCCCCCCCCCTCCTCGCTACTGCAGTGTCACTTATCGTCACAAAAAACAGACCCCACATTCAAAAATATGTTTTTTATCTTTTAAAAACACCGAAAACAACGATTTCGGACTATCCCTTCATATACTGACGTCACAGGTGACCTACTCAACTCTACTTCACCTGCCCAGTGTCCCGCCAAGTCTCAGACAACAAAAACGATTCCAGCCGAGCATGTCTCTGACCACACTATCCCTTCATTTGCTTAGGACAAAGAAACAGATGAACCCTACTTCACCTGCCCTGTGCCCCGCGAGGTCCTGATAGTCAACCTTATCATTCACATATAGGGCTTAAGAAAAAATAATTGAAAACGTAAAAAAAAAAAAAAGTTCTATTAATGTTTATGACACTGACTTTCAAATTTAGCCTTCATTCTCCAAAGCAAATTTTAAAATGCTTTTCTGGCATATCTAGCCCTGGCCACCTATACCATGTTTAAATAATGTGAACACCCGCCATTTTGCTCGTGGTAAACATGGCCTAAAAATGGTCGGAAGTCTTGCGTCCGGTCCGTACGCCATATTGTTGTTAGCAGCCGACCACGCCTCCAAGTTAGTGAGTAATCCTACTATATCTAGATATAGAACCTAGATAACAAAAAAATCCCATGTATTCTCGAATTAGATGATCATTGAAGCTAAACAAAGATTTATATAAAATAATTAGGCCCGAAATAGATTCTAGATGTAGAATTTACATTAAGTCTAGATCTAGAATTTACATTGAGTCTAGTGACCTAGATATCTAGATCTAGATTCTTGAATCTAGGCCCTAGGCTAGATTCTAGCTAGATTCATAACTTTAGATCTAGAGAAATTTATTGTAAAACTAAATGAAAAAAGACAGTTTAAAATTGATATAAGTGTTGGAACGTAATAAATACAGCAAACGGACGTATTGTTAAAGTTATGACCGACAGAAAATTAGATTTAGAACGCGTTAAACTTTGGAATGGGAACACAATTTTCTTCGATAGACGCCGCCATTTTATTGTACTAAAGAGTAAACAAAAACCTGTGACGTCACTATTCCCACAAAGTTTAGGCAAAGTTTTAACATTTTAAAAAAAAATGGGTTACTCTGCATATGAATAAATCAATTAATTAATTAACGTCTTTAAATAAATTTGTGATCAACAGTCTGTCTGCATTAAAAAATTATTCTCTACCTGCATACTATTTTACAGCTTTCCAGATAGAGTCGAACATATCACAATTTTCGATCGGACAAACAAACAAATAAATATTCAAACATGTAAACAAACTTGAGTTTTAGTAGTATATAGATAACGTCATCAATAATTGAGCATTCCATAAGTTTAAGCTCATAGCGTTCCGGAAATTGATAGTTTAATCAATCCATTTTCCCGGATTTGTTGACTTCTGTTTTTCTGAAGAACTTTTAGAGACATTTTTTAAATAAAAATATTTATCATCCCATGTTTTATGAATGGCCTCTAAGACAAGAACAAGCAAGCGTCTGAAGGGCGAACCAGTTGACGATGCTCTAACACTGGGAAAATCTGCTAAAAAATCTGGAGACCAGCCTCTGGTAGGTCAACAAACACAGTTCCACATATTGAACTGATTACATTTGTGTATAGCCACCTCGTTTATGGTAGTCTCTCTCTCTCTCTCTCTCTCTCTCTCTCTCTCTCTTTTTCTCCCTCTCCTCTCTTTCTCTCTCCCTTTCTGCCCCCTCTCTCCCTTTCTCCCCCCTCTCTCTCTCCCTTTCTCCTATATATTCATGCTAGGCGTACCAAGTTCCTACCCGTTATACCCGCCGCTAGTCCCGTGGGTTTACGTTGGACAAATATCCTCAACCCAAAAGTTTGCTTAGGCTGCTGACCCCCCCTCCACCACTTAGTCCCCAGACGCCGACTGGCCGCTGACCCCCCCACCCCACCCCACCACTCAGTCCCCAAAGGTCAACTGGCCACTGACCCCTCCCCCCCATTTAGTCCCCAGACGTCAACTGGCCACTGACCCCCCACCATTTAGTCCCCAGACGTCAACTGGCCACTGACCCCCCACCATTTAGTCCCCAGACGTCAACTGGCCACTGACCCCCCCCCCCCCACCACTCAGTCCCCAGACGCCGACTGGCCACTGACCCCCCACCATTTAGTCCCCAGACGTCAACTGGCCACTGACCCCCCCCCCACCATTTAGTCCCCTGAGGTCAACTGGCCACTGACCCCCCCCCCCCACCATTTAGTCCCCAGACGTCAACTGACCACTGACCCCCCCCACCCCCACCACTCAGTCCCCAGACATCAACTGACCACTGACCCCCCCCCCCCCACCACTCAGTCCCCAGACGTCAACT